ATAAAACAAATTAAGATATCTTGATAAATTACTTTAATTTATTTACTTCTCAAGTTAGTCATTTTCAAAGAATCGACTTGATAGTCACACCTGCATGGCTGATTGCCTGATTGTACTACTCAATCAGGCAAATAATTAGTTTCTAATAATAGAAAAATATTATTCCATGAATAGGAGATATCATAGATTTAAGTGGTGGTAATGATTAATGATTACTAAGTGTCCCAATTATCGTATAACATTGAAAAAAAAAAGAAGTTTTGACCCCATTACCTTTGACCTCATGAAATTAGTTTAATCGAGTTTGCTTATGATCTCATCATTTAGTGCCTGAAATATTTTATGTTTTTGTTGTTCATAAAGAAATGTTAGTAGGAGGTCCCCCCACCAAATCGAATCATCACCTTCCAATATTCCCTCTTTCGATTTTCCTTTTTTTCAATGATAAAATATAATCAGAAAGTAAATTTTACAACAGATAATATAAATTAGACATTGTTTAAATTACTATCACCTTGCCGCAACACAAGCTAAGATAATATTACACTCGCTGATTGTTTAGCTTCGCTTGCGGCGTCGAGCTCAGGAGGCTACCATAGATTGGAGGATCCGTCAAAAATTGTGAAACCTTAGTTAAGACATGATGTAATTGGGGTTTCTTACCCAATAAATATTATAATAATTAAGTAACAGGTTTCAGTCTCCTCCTTTGCACAAAAAATAATAATAATAATAACATTACACACATAAAGGTATAATTTTATAAATTCAATAGTATAATGTATACTCTTGAATGCTTCTTTTTTTTTTTTTTTGGATTTTCTCTCTTAATGTTGCATTTCAATAATGGCTTTTTCCGAATTTAATGTTATTATTAATCTTTGTTCTTTGTGAATAAAAATTAATTGAAGTCTTACACTTGATAGCTTAAAATAGTGCACTAAACAACATAAAAATGATTGGCTACCTCCCCACCCCCATGATTAGGGCACGACCCCATAAGATTGTATCAGGCCTCCTGCAGATTAGTACTGCTACTTTTCGTCGTTCTTTAATCATGAATAAACTAAAGTTATTAATTTATATCAAATTAATACTTTTACCCAATATTTTATTTTTGGTCCTACAAAAGTTTATGTATCCAAAAGAATTAAAGAAAGTATACCTTATTGATTTATTTAATTAATTTACTTATTTTAGGTATACTCATTTCATCGCAAAAGAAGAGAATTGTAAATGAAGTCTACCCTACAAAGGCTAGATTAATATAAAATATGCGTGCTTAGAGTACTTGCATCACATGCAATGTAATTAAACTATTCACAAAGTTTCAACAATTAATGCTATAAACACAAGTTAAAATAGTTATATCGACGTTCCATCTCAAAATAAAATTACTTTTGTTACATTATATTTTCCAAATTTTGATGAGAAAACAACTGATTAACTAGGTTTTTTCTTTTTTGGTCCCTTCTCTTCTGTTTATTATTAATGGAGCTCCAGAAATAATTAACTAAGGTAGAAAATAAATCATTTTAGGCAAGCATTTGGGCAAGATCGATTTGTTAATGTAAATTTTTTTTTTCTATTTACTTTGTTCGGCAAATGGGATTTTTCATTAGATTGTTAAGAGAATGCTCACATGGAAGCATTCAGATATAGGCTTTGTTCGTCAATATTTGCATAAATCAAGGGACTTAATCATTTCCATAGTTTCCGCCGGCGTATGAATTATGAAAATGGTCTACCATTTGAAGTCGTGATTTTTCCCTAACCAACCGACTCGTGATCCTTTTGTTGACTTGATTCAATACCACCAAACCCCCATATGAAATAATTATATGCAAATAATATAATTTTACTTCAAAAGAATAGTATGGATTGTAGATGACAAAACATATAATACTAGTATTTGTTTCTGTGACGAGGAGGTGCAACATTAATAAAGACGCCTTTTCTCTTTCTAATAGGTGAAAGATCCAGTTAGGGTAAAAAAAAAAAGGTAAGGAACCACTTTTAAATCATAGTGTATTGTGTATTGATTCTTCAAATCAGCTGGAATAGCTAATCCTCACTAAAACCGGCTACCTAAATGTCAAATTGATGTTCTATCATTTATATATATTCTCTGCGTCACGAAATAATTATCTAAGTTTTACAGTGTATTTAGCATAATATAAACATAATAATTATGGTGAGATCGGAAAAAAGTAACTAACTGGTGTCAGAAGACTCCCAAACAGACTTTCATTAGGTGATGATATTTCCAACCAAAAGTAGGAAATAAAAATCTTTGTGTTTTGAGGGGAAAATATCGAAGTCGTAAAAATTAGGTTCAGAAAAGTAATCTGCACCTCGGGGCTCAAGAAACGTTCAGAAGCTTGGACTAGGTTATACTACAAATTTAGTATTATTATAAGGTTAATTCCTCCCATCTACGTGAACTCCAAGAAGCAACAAAGTCAGATTTCAAGTATAATAAAAAACGGTTAAAAAAAAAAATAATCTCGGTCGTATTTTCATATATAAAGTCTTTCAACCTCGATAAGTAAAAATTATTCGTAAGTACTCTACATCCACATTTATTTTTCCATAGGCTTACACATTAGGAAACCTCATTTACGTTTTTTTTTTTTAAAAAAAAAAAAGAAATAGTGATAAAAATAGTTAACGAAATTTTCTAACACTGCGAATACGTTATTTTGTGTTTTTATGAATGTTGTAATAATAGATTCAGTATCTCCTTTATCACTCTTCTTTGCAAAGATGTAGTCTATAATGTGGCCCAAATTCTTATATTCCATGATTTATTTAGTACCACCAAATAACAAAATTAAGTAAGATATTCGGAGGTTTTTAGATTATCATAAATAAATTCAAATTGTGAGAATATAACAAAATTATTAATAAATAGAGGGTTTGAAACTAATCATTGACTAGCAGCATCAGCGACACATGAGATATATATATATATATATTTGAAGCTTTTAATCATTTGCACATTCAATTTTGACCCAATTTTCAATAATTAGATTCGATTAATGAAGCCGGTGGCTTGGATTTGAATGAATGAAGACTGAACCCTTTTGATTAAATTTTGTAGCAATCTCATTTGCATCCAACATGCCGCAAAATGTCCCTGGTCAAGATCTTCCTCGTGTTCCTCAGCCACAAAACTATCACAACTAACTTCTCAAATTTTTAACGAGGGTAATTAATTCGACAAAATGGACTCTACGTATTAATGAAGATAAGGTGTGATTATATATTAGAACGCGTAACGTTATAAAACTCTGAAAAACTGATAAATTTACATTAATACTATCTAAATTTTATATTTTCTCTAGCCGTTTTCTTCTTTTTCTTCTTCTTCTTCTTCTTCTTTTTTTCGTTCTCTAGAAGTCGACAAAAAATATTACATTCTATTAAATGGTGAGATATAAACGGCTTATTTCTGAAAAACGGTCACTATACCACTACTCGATCTCTCTCTAATCAAAATGACCAAACCATATATAAATCTCAGATATTTTACATGTCAATTCATGTTGTTTAAGGGACAAACAACAGTTATGTTAGGTAAACATGTAACTTCTAAAAATAGGATTTCAAAAGTCAGAATCAGATGAAACTTTATTAATAATTACCATGCATCAAACCCTAATGACACAAATGCGCACCACATTCATTTTCTCATCAACATTTTACTCTTCTTGGGCCAAGTAAATTAATACGCTCTCATTACTTTGTTAAATTTTGTGCTCTCTTTTTAGAGTAGTTCATTGAACCAAAGCTACATAATTACTTTAATTCAATCCCTTCTGACAAAATTCACAGTTATTAAGATTTCTAACTTGGTTTTTAAGGAAAACAAAATGTATAGCAGCAGATTTCGTGTCCCATGGTTTTATTCTGATCAAAATGAGCAAAATTAATGTCTGTGTGCATGGAACCGACCCATATCCTTAATTTCATCCAAAAAACCTCACATTAATTGTCTCAGTCATCATCATCTTCCCCCAAGAAACCATATAGTTCTATGTGTGCAATGCAACTAACTATATAACGGTAATAACCGCAGCGGTATGTATATTAAAATATGGGATTCCCGAGGTTCGAAATTCATTATTTTCTTTTATTTTAATTAATTTTTAATATTCTTTGGGTAGGTTTTTTTGGGGTTCAAGGTGCAAAAAGAAAAGAGAGAATTGAGGAGTTCATGTGATCACATGACTAAGGGAAGAAATGGATGAGACCCCCAATTATATGGTCAAAAGGAGAATATAAGAAAGATAAGAGGAATTTATTTTTAGAAGTGTGGGATTGGCATGTGCTGCGTTATTGAGTTGAAATGAATGCCATTTTTAGGTGAACAAATGTCCTGAGACATTGATTATTCTTTCTACACAGGGCTTCAGTATTTTTGTTGGCATTCTGATACTTATTCAATCTCTCCGTCCCAAAAAAAAAAAGAAAGAAAAATATCTATAATTTATGGTGTTACTTTAAAATCGAAAAAAAAAAATTAATTTACTAGTAAGAAACTTGAGGCCCTAGTGTTTAGAAACATATTCTAGTGTTTAGAGTATTTCATGGTTCAACTCTATAAGAAATACGAGAAAAGGGTATGGATTTTAGCCTATAAAAACTTCTCAAGTCTAAGCCATATATATATAAAATAAAAAAAAAAGGACTTAGCTATTGATATTAATGTTCTTTGTACAATGTGCTCCTGGAAGATAAATGGTGATAATCAGTCATTGATACAAAGAATGCAGGCTGTCGGGTAACCCTAAAAAGGGCTAAAAACAAAGTATGAAGAATATATCTATGCCCCTTTCTACCTATATGACAAAAAACCTCTACATTTTACAAATTCTAGTTTCTAAGACAATTTTACATTTGGGGCACTAAAAGAACCATATCTAGAAAGTTAAGACTACCCGGGATGCATGTACATTGTGGGACTAAACTAAGTATCCGATGAAGAAACCGCAGCCCTAATCCTTCAAAAACTGGAAGGCTGGATTTTCGAGTAGTTCTGATGCAGGTTTTACGCCCGTGAAATCGATAGCCTTCAGGTTACTGGCAATATCATCAACTGAGAAGGGGATACTGCAGTGGTAAAGTACATTATAAGTATAGCTCAGAGATGAGAAACCATTTTTTTTTTTTTTTTCTGGAAGGGAAGGGATTCTTTCTAAAGACACGATACCTGGAATTGTCATCCAACAAAAATGATTTGCTATCGGACTCACTTGAATCTTCTGTCATTAATAATGTCATGTTGGAAATTACCTACATTTTGAGCAAGTGCTTAGATAATGAATGAGCTGAAGTACATAAGGATATAAGAAGATGGTACTTTGAAATTACACAATGAAAAATCTCAAAGAGCTCACAAAAGGGGGAGACTTACATCAGGAGATACACTCGGAGTATTATAGTTATCATCACAATATAGTGTGCATAGTCTGTGAAGCTGTTGAATGCTCAAGACCTGCAGAATCAGTTCATGTAAAATTTTAATCAATCAGACAACTGATTCGACAATCTTGTTCCCTTAAAGTAGTAAATTTTCTCCTACAGCGACTGGTACCAACGAGCCGCACCTCATACTACCAACATGGAAATGGAGTATAGATCTAAATTTTGATTAAAAGAATTAAATAAAAAGAAAAGTAGCCCTTCTGAAGTTCTCAAATAACCCCTTCTGATATCACTGAAGAAAGTTTTAGCAAAGCTAGAAAAACTACACTCGCAATATGTGATATTCCTGCCCATGTTTTTGGTATACTTCTCCTTAAAACTTATCCTAACATAGAAGGAAGGTTCGCTTGGAACATTTTCTTATTTCAGTTTAGGATCTCTCATCTCTGATCTCTACCTCTCTTTTTCTTTCCACAAAGGTGGAGAAAAATGATGATAATATCGGAGCCCTCAATTTCGTAGATGGAGGGGTTCATCAAGGACAAGGTATAGACAAGTAGAAAGTGAAAAATCAAACAGTGAGACAGACTTACAGGGCATAAATCATTTGTAAGATCGTCATAAGTAATTCTGGACTTCTGGTGAATAACCTGCAACCAAATGATACATTAGCCAAAACAATGGACGTGATAGCATCAATCAAAACTCAACATCTTAAATTAGTTTACAGTGTGCTTGTACATGCGAATAACACGTAGTAATAATACAATGACTAAAAGTTCAGTTGTCTGCCATATTTAGAATTAGAATATACCAAGAAACCAACAGCCTGCCTCGTGTGTTTTAATTCTTCCCATGATGATCCTGCATACTGCAGATTAACACCATGTGACAAATGTTGTGGTTAACAACAACAATGTTTCAGATCAATGGAGCCTCCAAAACATCATGCATATTTGAAATAGGACATTTACCTCTTCTGTTTCATTTTTACACCAAAGCTCCAATTCAGCTAACCCTGATTTCACATATTCTCCATTGTTGAAGGTACAGCACTCTTTACGAAGGAGAAGACTGCAGAAGTGCGTAAAGAGGATTAAGATTATTGCGTCAACTCTTGAGTACTAACATAATTTATAAGTTTTTAATCAGAAGGCTTTGAATCTACCTATTGAAAAGTTCATGATTTATGTAAGAGAATATCTGGACAAAGACTCTCTGAGCAAGAATGGGGGGAACCTACACAACGAGATGCAGAATATCATAAATCATCCACATTATTGCACATCTTTACTGTATGCACACAAAAGACAGTAATTGATAATCAATTAAAAACATACAAAATTTTCTTTTAAAGTACTCAGAAGGCCATTTAAGCTATCGATGATTCCCTGCCAATGACTGGCTGGAGAACTACCTCCGGGTTTAGATGTTCTGGATGCCTGAATCAGTAGTTACAAGAAGAGGTAGAAGTTAAAGCCACAATATTTGTAGAAATATACAAAACGCAATCAAACTAACAGATGCAGAAATGAAAATCAAAAGCATCCAAAATCGTGTAAAAACATTACTTTGCACTCTTTTGTAAATGCTAACTACAGAATATTCAAACAGATGAGAAACAAAAGCAACTCTTTAGCTCTGCATTCACATGGTCTCGCTGAATATATACATTATCTTATCTCATAAGGAAGGTGTAAAGATCTGCACTAGGGAACATTAACATATACATATAGAATAGAAAATAGATAAAACTGGAAAAGGAACGTGCATTTTGTGATTGAAAGACCACTTGAGAACAAGTTTGAAACAGCATCATGAAATGAAGTCTTCAACAGGTAAAAATTGCATTTGTGAAACACAAATAGCTCCAATGTCATAAGTTCTTGAAAAAACAACACCACTTTAAGATTTTTCAAAAGAAAAAGGAATGAGGCAACAAGGCACATTACTTGTATACAAGAAGAAATAAGCGACGATAGATCCTTCTTGATATTATCTCGAATAATACCATAGATCTTCTCTACGTATGCAGTCAGTTGTTGCTTGAAAAGCAAAGCAGGGTACTTTGCCTCCACTTGGCGCACTCCATCAAACCCACCAACCGAGATGTTAGCAAAAGAAGGAGATGAACGGAAACCCTGGGAAATGTATCACTCTTATATTGTGTTTACAACAATCCACAGCAATTATAAATGCATACAATACAAGAAGCGATCGTTATCATAACCAGGATCATACAAATAGAATCTTCCTGTGACAGAGTAAAGAACAACAGATATCAATGGATTCTTACCTGGGTCATCCTTCCAAATAGTGATGTTGGCTGGGGAGGTTTCGCAGCACTAGGACCAGTTTTTAAAGTCTGCTGAAGCAACACTAATAACGTGGATGTGTTGGAGAGCCAATAAATCATGTGATTGTTGTTTGTCTCATCCTGGAATTAAAGAATTTAAACTTAGGACTTAAAATGTCTTCAATAATATGATTAGAATGAACTGGCCCGTAAGGGATGCTAAAATGTCATATAATTGAGTAACTGATCAAAGTGAAAGATGTATTAAGTCTACATTGGGCATAGAGGAAAAGTTTCAGCTTAGAGAGTACCTCTATAGCAGAACCAATCAGTTGTATGAGACGATCAAACACAACAGTTTTTTCTGCTTCAAAAGATCTCCAGTGTACTAGACATTTGAAAATGGTAAATGCAGCTATGGGTTTTCCTTCACTAAAGCCAAGATCTTGAGAAACACAATTCATAAGAGCATCTATACTTTCCTGCAATACATGAATCAAAATTAGTGCACCTTGATCAATCAACAACTTGATAGTCGTTCTCAGTGCTTTGGTTTAAACAAAAGCTGAAGAAAGCAAGAATATATGCGTAAGACTGCTATAGGAACATACCCGCTGCCTTTCAATATTGGATCTTCTCATTGACTCACTGCCGAATCTTTTTGATGCACTGCCAAATCTCTTAGCAGGTGTGGAACTCTGTGGTTCCTGCATAATGATGCATACTGTCATGATCCTACTAGGGAAGCACATTAAATCGGAATTCTGATAGAAGGAAACATCACTAAAGGAACCATGAATATTGAAGATTGCACTTACATTATGGCCATTTTCAAGAGGCTGCAGATGGCAAAGCGAAAATATGAGTAAGAAACATATTCATGAAAGCCATTAATTAAGATTAAGGTCATGGGATTTAAATTGATTTCTTACTGTCAAATATCCAGATGCTCTTCCAGCTGGTGCATTCAGCAATGCTTGTTGTCGCAAAATCTGGTCCTCAGTTTCCATATCCGAGAGTTTTTCTTCAAGCCTGCAACCGGAAAGAAACTAATTAAATAAACAAAGATAAACGAAATGGCATGAAAACATTGAAGCTTCAAAGGAGAATAAGCGTCAGAAAACAGTCGTTAACCTTTGCATGGAAGTCTTCAATTCAATTATCTTTGACTCTGCATCCATAGCTTGCTTCAATCTCTCCTCACTAAGACGACTAGTTTCTTCATACTTTTTCTCAGTTTCATCAATTCTTTTTTCCAGTGAACTTACTAAAGCCTGCATAGACACACCAGTTTTGTTATTGTATTACTTCTTCAGTACAAGAAAGTGTTTGAGACCAAATTTGAAAAGATTGGAAAACTGGAAATTCTATATTGTGACATGAAAGCCAATTTAACTATCTACCAAGAAAAAACACAAAAAAAAAAAACAAAAAAATAAAAGCCAATCTAACAAGTGACAAAACTATTATACCTTGAGCTGTTCATTTTCAGCTGTAAGCTTATCAACCATTTCATTGTCAATAACAGAAACCTCCTGAACCACAGGAGCTTTCTCTTCAAGCTGCAATGCGGCTTCCTTTTCCTTCTGCAGCATTGCTTTGGTCTCATCAAGCTGGAGCTGCATCTGTTCCAAAGCCGATTTTAGTCTTGTGTTCTCCTGAGTTTTCGCTTCATCTAGGTCAGCCTAAATAAGCATTAGAGTGAGAATGAGAAATATGTGGAAAACTTGATAATTGGCATTAGCAGATCCCTTGGCAAAGAAAAAGAATGCAGGATTGATTCTATTTACTTGTCCTGTTTGAGATTCAAGATAGACACTTACCCGCATACGTTTCTCAAGCTGTAAACGCCAAGTTAGTTCCTCAACTTGCTTTTCCAGTAAACTTTTGGCAGCTTGGAGAGCACCAGTTTCCTTTGCAGCCTGAAACCCATAGCACAAGTCATGTTTAAGCTACCATCTGATAATGAACTTATACAAGAAACTAGTTCCGCATGAAAAATTATGCAGGACTGATTCTATTTACTTGTCCCGTTTAAGAGAAAAAGAAGAAATTGCATTCAAGAAGTTGACAATTTTGGGCAATTATATATGCACTCCAAAAACCTACTAGCAGCAAGGAGGATCAAAATAGCAACAAGAAATTGATTGTTTGTATTTATCTTTTCACTAGCAGGAATTAACAACAACCAGAAAAAGAAAAAAAAAGAACATGCACCTGAAAAACATTTATAACAGAGAAAAGAATAGAAAGTCCCGCTAAGATAGCATAGATATGGTGAAAAATTCAGAGGAAAAGAAACTGTGTGGAGAAGGAACAGAATCTCATTCCATCAACGAAATAAGTCTAAGGGGGTATGGAAGCGACTCTGACCAACTGATTTTTATTTAAACATTCCCCTATATTCGATTCAACTATTACGCAGCGTGCCATCCGAAATCAGATAAGACATTGAACATTGTTGAAAATATATCTCACCATTTTAAGCTTTCTCAGTTCCCTACGGGCAATTTTCCCTCTCCAGGCACATTGAACAACTATAGCAGCTTCCTTTATCCTCAAGTAGTGTGAGCGTGCCAAGTGTCCACGGCAATGGCTCTACAAAAAGGAAAATCATTAAAACACCAAAACAGAAAAATATGCCAGAATTGTAACACAATTCGACAGGTCAAAACCAAAAAAGCATGCAAAGAACTCAAGACAAGGAAGATAGAAGTCGTATTTTACAACAAACTTCGTGATTATTGGCAACAGAATTTCTACATCTACCAATTGGTAAAAGATAATTTAGTGTTGATAAAATATGCACTAGTAAACAATAAAACAAGTTTTCTGACAGTTAACATGGGAATTTATAGCTTTAGTAGCAGAAATAAAACCTTCAATAACATTTCCGTAGCTATCCGTCAAAAGAAAAAGAAAGGACCTCTATCTCCCTTGACAAAGACAATGTCTCTAGTTAAAAAAGCTGTTAAAATTTACCTGGATAAAGATAGCTGCACGATTTTTTCTTCGTGATTGAAGCTCATGCCGAGCAGCAACAGCACAAATTGCTGTTTGAATAATGATAGCTGAAGAGTTCAAGGCTTTATAAGCTTTTCTGGCGAGAAAGGTCCTTGCATCTCTCTGGATTCTCAAGCAAGCAGCTTCCCGCCTCATGCATAGGTAGAGATGGCGAGCCACTTCACCTATAGTTAATCAAGAGAAAGGTCATGCCTGAAACAAAACTGTCACTATGTGGGCAATGAAGATCAGAAGATGATAATCATACCTCTGCACACAGCTTCCATTTGTATTGCCGCATTACGCAGTGCAATAAAACTTTTGCGAGCAAAGTATGAACGCACTTTTCTCTGGATAACACGTGCAGATTTCCCCAGCACTTCACTCCGGACGGCATCTAATTCAGCCATCTGACCAGCTCTAAGAAACACCTTAGTTTTACCAACCTGCAGCACAGTTAGTAAATTAAGTTAATGATTTCCTCACCTTAAGTTACTACTCACAAGATTAAGGCCATTAATATTAAATGAACTCTGACCTATCTCTACGCCATTAATTTCCATAAATCCTAAACACATCAGCATTATGCTTGTTGAGATACTTTGGCGCATATTAATATAGAAACCCAAAAAAACCTGATAATTCTGATGTGTTCAAGCGATGCAGTACCTGATAACCCTTAAGGTCGACTCTCTCCAGAATCCTCTTACAAGCTTCAACCTCCTCAAACCTATTACAGTGAGAATAAATGATGAAATTCAGTAATTAACCATAGGAAGATTATATGTCACCGAATTTCTTCAAGCAGATCACAATCCAAAGACACCAGTCAAAGCAAGTACCTCCCATTTAAGATATCGGGGGCAAGGATACCAAATCGACGTACAAATTCATCAAATGTCTTCCGAGTGGGAAATCCGGCACAACTAATCCTGATTGCTTCCATCACTCCCTAGAAACATTACATTTGGTTCATTTGCATGATGAAGAATCGAAGATATAGGCAATAATTGTCAGAACTCACCCCACAACGAAGCTGCTGAAGTACATTTTGATTCTCAAATATTGATGGTTTCAAAACATTATTTGGTTTAACACAGCGAACATAATGTGGTTCTGTGGCACTGAGTGTCTCAAGCAAAGCTTGCAATTGTTGCTGCACAAAAGTATATTACAATGACTTCATCCTGAAATGAAAGAAGCCAAAGATTTGAATAGCTAAGACAACTAAAAGTACCTTAAATTGAGAACCAATGGATGAAAACTTTGATGTTTTGGAAGACTCTTCAGGTAAAGGAGGGAAAAGGCCTGCGACAAAAGAACACCTTGAAGCACATAGAAGTGCTTGATGTTCCGCAACAACATAGTCTTTGTTCTTATCCAGAAAAAGCTCAGTCTGATAAGTGACCTGAAATCATACCTTTTCTATCAAACAAATCAACCACTAAAGTCTAAACAAATTATTTATTGAAGTTTTTGTCAGATCAAACATACATCACCAGCATAATGATGAATGGTGAAATCAGTCTGCGATAATTTGGGCTTGCTAAACCGCTTATGATCTTTGAATATCTGATACAGTTTCTGCGCGAATGTTTCATTTGTTGATCTTGGGAACATACTGTCAGAATATCATTTAAAAAAAAACACACACACACACACACACATTTTAGTACTGAAGCTTTCAAAAATTTCAATGCACCAGAAAAAAATGCTACTTAAAGGAGAAAGACAATTAAATTTCTGCATAAACATACCAAGCCTCATCAAGCAGAGCGATAATGCCACCGGGTTTCTGGAAGTAATAAAAAATAAATAAATTACGATTTCCAAAATTGCGAGCAGCAAAAGGCATTATAGACTACCACTTTGATTCACATGACAACATGTATTTTCTGGACATTTCGGGGAAGTAAGAATTACAAAAGAAATGGTCCAAAAATAAGTACAGAGAAACAGTCCAAATTCCTAACAGATCTCTATTAATGTTGATAGTTGGGTGACAGCAGAAAACAAAAAAGCACAAAATGTATATTTTGAGTTAAGATTTTGTTAAGAGCTTCCACAGATTGCCTTATCAATTTCAAGACACAGTGACAGCCAAGAAAGCAAAGGCCTAAAGCGAAATGAAGTAAGGTTGAACCGGTAGCAATTTCTTTTTCTAAAATGAAGTTAAAAAAAATTGTTATGGGGGAAGCAAAATTTATGGATAATAAAAGTTTCGGGCTCGGTTAACATTGCTTACAATAAGAATTTTGGAAAGTAACAAAACTATCTTTTGTAGTTACATTGGAAGTCAAAATCCCCAAAAGGACAAAACCAGACGGCACTAAAGGCAGAGTAGTGGTAAGCAAAAAGGCAAAAAGAATGGATACCTTTTCAATGAGATCTAGAATGTCTTGATTATCCACAAACTCAATGTAGCTCCAGTCTATTTCTTCTTTTGTGTACTCCTCTTGCTCCATCTTGAAAACATGCTGCCATAGAAAATGAAAGTTGCTACACATTATTTGAGTCATCTTTAGTAAAAACATTTGCCTCCAAACTTCTTCTTTTCCAAATCTACAGATAAAAACCATAATAATGACACAAGATTAGATTTCGCAAACCTGATTGAAATGTTGCTGCAACTTCTCATTTGTCAAATTGATACAGAACTGCTCAAAGCTGCATTAATGAGATAGATAAGATTGGAACAATATGAGCATATAATTTACCTTTTAGTTAAACTGGTAATGATTACATATGAGCTAAGTGTTTTCAACAAATCATCCAGCAGCCGTGACCGTAATAATATATCAAGTCTTCCCAACCAAAAGATTGCAAGACCAACAGCACAAAAAAGCGGGAACTAATATGTTTTCAAATATTAGGAAACAAAGCCAAATTCATTTTGCATAATAATGGCATTTTCAAATAACTCGCTTGAAATCCTAAGTATCGTATAGAAGGAGGCTTCATGCATTATTGCAATAATTAACCTTTTTAAATGACGAAAACAAAAGCATACCGGTTAAGCACCTGTTTGTCTTGAAACTCTCAAATCCATATATATCCAGGACCCCAATCAAGCATTTTGAATCAGGATCTTGGCCAATGGAATTGTTAATCTTGTTAACAAGCCTAACGAAAGAAACAGCAGCTGTAAGAAACAAAAATGGCAAAAAGAAAAAAGAAATGAAAAACCTCTTACTGTAATAATCACACTAAAACTCACCAATCAAACAATCTTGAATACACTATCTTGGCTAAAGCATCTCTATTTGTAACAGCTGCATTTGGATCAAGGCATTTTGTTATGGCCTCATCACGGGTAACAATTACACGTTTACACATTGAGTCTTCAAGAGCCTTCTCATCACACCTAGTCAAAATTTGATAATTTGAAATTTTGTTCCAAATAACATATATTGGTTTGTGGAGAAGGAAACAAATAATTTAAATATATATTGATGATGATTGGGGAATATGTACAGATGCAAAACTTACATGAGAAGATCTGCTGCAGTTTTCAAATGATACCGGGACTGGTCATCCTTCGGTTCGGAAGAATCAGTTTCATCTGCTTTTGCAAACTCAATGTTGCCCAGATGAAGGACTGCAGCCACTACTCGGAATACTGCATCCTGCAACAAAAAGATTTAGCACAAGAAAGACATCCGCATGCTCCAATCAGAGACAAGAAAATCAGCATCTCTATATTTCAAATTTCAAACCATTGCTAAAACATTTGATTTTGAGAGGTAATATTTTTAATTCTGGGTGGAATATAAATTTTCTACCTGTTCATCCGCGCTGATGCCAACGACATCCATAGCTCTTCTTGTAGCAAGGTATTCCTTAGAATCATCAAATGCATCCAAATCAAAACAATTTGACTGGTTCAGATAATGGAATGTCCTCGGATTTCCTAATTTGTATTTCTCAACATCCTGACAGAAATTTATACGAAAATTAATGGAGATGAACATCTCTCTACAACGTTTCACATCTTGAACCCAATAGTATTGGTAATAACAAAGATTTGAATGATAGAATGTAAAAGTAGAAAATCCGTATGGAAAGATCTTAACATCCAAATATTAAAGATCTTTGTTGTCAAACAAACTTCACTTCTATTCTGGGTATACACTCAGTGGATTATGTAAGATGAGGGAAAGCTTTCCTCCATGGAAGTCAGTCACAACGTACTCAAAGGCTTACTCAATGAAAAGCCATTATTTTTTTCTTGCACTATGTCTAAAAAGATTTCTCTAGGAGATAAGTCACCTCTGGTGGTGCAGCACAAAGCATGTAGAAGCAGTGGTAGTTTCTCTCTGGATCAGACAGCTGACAAACCCGTGATCTTTCCAACAAATAAGTTCTGATTGCAGCACCAGAAATTCTTCCACGATTGTCGAACTGGATCTCGACAAATTTACCAAAGCGACTGTTGTCACGTCAACAAGAAAGATAGTGATCACTTGAACAGAATACACAGAGGATGCTATCAGTTCGCATAAGTTTTGAGGTTTACATACCTAGAGTTGTTATTTCGCACTGTCTTTGCATTACCAAATGCTTCTAGAACTGGATTTGACTGCAAAGGAATGTAAAAGATTCACAGACAGCCAAAAAGAATTGAGAAGCTATATCTATGTAGAAGATTGAAACATTTAAATGACAGCACTGGAAGTACAAATGTTGAGGGCTTTATGGAAATCTTTGCACTGTAAAACAACTTAAAGAAAAACAAACAACCCGCTGGAAATGCTCCAGAAAAAAATGGGTTACAAAATGAAATGCAAACCTCCAGAACTTGTTGCTCCACTGTCCTTCCTTCTACTCCTGCTCTACCTCCCATAAAGGCCAGATAACGCATAAGCATTTTTGTGCTTTCAGTTTTCCCAGCTCCGCTTTCACCACTAACCAAAATTGCCTGGCTTATCCCTTCTTTAATCATTTGCCTGCATACTAGAATTGCAGGCATCAGAAAGGAACCACAACGGTTGGGAAGCAAACGCCAAAGAACGTAGTGAAATTATTGCCTGTATGCAGCATCAGCTATAGCAAATGGGTGGGGACTCAGCTCACCAAAGGCTGCTCCTTTGTACTGCTGCATCATGTGGTTGTCGTACAAATGAGATAACCTTTGGAATGGATTTACTGCTATCAGTATATTACCTGTATAGGTCTGAAACATGATTTGGAAATTTGATTCAGAAATGAGTCCACTTAGATAATTAGCTAGAAGAAATATGGAGCACATTCCATATGCCCATAGTAGAAGGGATGACATTATCTTGCCAGAGAACAAAAAGATATACATGACTCAACCATTTACTTTAAAAAAGAACTGCGTCACTGAAAGTGAAGGAACATTACAAATAGAGTTAGCAAGATGTCAAAAGCTCACTTACATAAATATCGTTTATGTCATATCGACACCTTAAATTGTATAAAACACCCGGTTCATGCAAATAAGCAAGCTTTGTCATATCATCCACACCACGCTGAGGGGCTTCCACATCTTTTGGGTATATATTGCGTGAACTGGCTACAACCTTCACAATGCAAGTAGAACAACACGGAGAGACATCAGTTTTGCTACTAGAGTCCTTTAACACAAATCAACATGAGAGCTCATAGGGAAAAGTATTTACAGTCTTTCCGGATGTGCAATTTACAGTTATCTCTTCCCCATCAATTTCTGTAATGACCCCATCTACCCAGGCTACATCCGGGTCCTGTACCCAGACATGAGACCCGACTGCCAGACCAGTTGCCGCAGTCTAAAACAGAAGTATATAGTTACAAAACTGCATACATTATCTATAACGAAACTGAACACAAGCATGCCTTATAAGCTTTTTGTCATCCTGGCAGTTTGTGTAACACTTCATTTATTCAGAAAACTATGTAACTACTACGAAATTCAGCAAAAGGTAACATGAGAGTTGGTTTCACGAAAAAAACTGACAGAAGAAGAAACATACACCAAACAGCATAAAGGCAAACTACTTCTGACATGATCTCCATCATTCTTATACCAGCAAATATAACTCCAAGGGGGCATTTTCTATGGTAAACACAATCCAACTTCGGAACGTTATACATTTCCCTGACCTATCAGCTAAATCCACTACACTAGACCTATTTAAGAACATCTTTCACTAAGTTCTTTTATCTTGTTCCGTAGAACAGCCATTAGTAATTGCACATCAAAAGGGGGATTTTGGCCCACTTTTAGTAGTTAAGAAAGAAAAATGTTTTTACTGGTAATAACTGATGCCCAACCACAATACCTTCCCTTCTAAATTAACAAGGTGAATCAGAACAACCTAGCCACATGATTTATTTACTAACTTCGGATGATTGGGAGTGGTTAGTCTGCCACTTATGTATAGTACCCATCAGCCATTCAGTCTAATCATCAAGTTGACTCAAAAGAAATTTAAATCGCACAACTGATCTTTCCACACTACAGACCTACTTGTGCCTTTCATGCATGTAAAAGCACCATTCAAACAGCAAGTTCCACGCGATTTTGGAAACAAAAGAAAAACTGTTTGCATTTAAGCATAATGATCACACTTTTGTTTCCCTGGAAAGCACAGTGATTTGAAAATATACGAATTGAAACCCTTATAGTCAACAAGAGAAAGCAAGACTAAAAAGGTAATAGCATGCGCTTAACATTGAAAATGACATCATGCAACGTATATACGTATCTGAGCATATGCTTCCTCTGGTATCATTAACTAATATTGTTTCATCATTATGCAAAAGCATGCATATATAGTTAAGGAAAGCCATCCACCAATCTTTCCAGAATTATGGTTTAAAATAATATCCTACATGGCTCATCCAGAAAACTAGCAATAGATATAAAACCTCTTAAGCAGCCTCAGACAGAGCTATCTAGATTCTAACCTACATATAGTTTATTTCTTTTTTCACCCATACCATACCACCCTCCTCTAAGGCCACCTCATACATGGGAAAAAATTGCTAAAATCCACATAAAAGAGAAAAAAATTAATATCTTTCAAGAAAATTGCAGAGTTCATGGAATGAACTCAAACAACAATTTTTTGTGCAAGTAACATCCAAGTCACGATTTTGACTTGGAATGAGAAATGCTGTTATGAATTTTGACATGCATTGCGATTTTGACTTGGAATGAGAAATGCTGTTATGAATTTTGACATGCATTGCGAATTACCATAACAAGTGTAACTTGATCACATATAAACATTTTTCATAGCCACGGAACTCCACTTCAATGAAAAACTTACACCATTAACTCACCAAAAGAACATAAAAGAAATGATTTTACCATTCCGTAGGGTCAATTTCAATCCAGAAAGCAATCAAAACCCCTAATTTCTCCCGAATGCAGCAATGCCACCAAAACCATTCAATACTATCTCAAAACAAAATGACCCCAAAAAATGATCAGACTCTAGCTAAATGGGCAATTGGGCAAACAAAAAACCAAAAATGTGGGAATGAAGAAGAATCAGGTAAAAGGGTTTTAAAAATCACATTGGAAGAATTTGCAGAGGGCGAAAGGGAAGATCTTTTTCAATTTTCTATTAAATATTTATAATAGAAAATAGAGAAAAAGATCAAATTTTTTTGTTGAAACCCAAAAAAACACCACAATTTTCCCCTGTTCTTTCTTCTCTTTTTTTTTGTCTTTCTCCTTTTGCAAAATATAAACAAATTTCTGGTTTTTCTTTTATCCCTTTTTCCTCTTGGTGGCGGTTAGGGTAGAGTCCGTGTGACAATGTGCGTGTCTTTGTAGCGATTTGGGTGGAATTTTTTTGTGTTTTGTTTTGTTCAACGTTAGAGAAAAATGCAGAGACAAAAGAAAGATGAGAAAGAAAAATACAAATTATTCTGTGCGGACGCTTTCACCGAAACTTTGTACTCTGGGGAAAGTCTTTAACCAATCAGATTGCGCCAGCACGATGGAGTATATGAGACTATATACGACAACAAAAAAGTTACAGTTAATTTCGGTTATCCAAATAAGAAAAGTCAAAAGCATTTTTCAGTTTGAGCTGATTTGGCATATTTCTATTGGCTATGATTTTCCGAGTAAGCATGCCACCTCGGGAAATGGTTCTTTTTGCAAATATTCTGTTGGCTTATAGTATTTGTTTGGTTTTATTAAAACTAGAATATCATTTCATTAGTCAAACGTAATTGGGGCAGCAAAGAGGAACAAATATCCCTATCTCAGCTTATATATATTCCCTATGTCCCAAAATTATTGTCTAATTTGAGATTTCACTTTTAGGACAATTTGAACTAAAAATGAAAACTCAAACTGAACAATAATTATGGGACGCAGGGAGTATCATATTTTAATGTCCTTCACACAACGATAACAATCTTGTTTCTAAAATTATTTTCCAAAAAAAAATATGTGAGTATTAATATGAATTTAAGGATTTAAGTAGTTTGTATAGAATTTTACGTTCATTCAATGCAATTGTAAGTGTCAAGGGAAAAAAGGTAAAAACAAATTATGGGGAAAAAAAAAGAAAGAAAAAAATTGTCCAAATTGATTGCTTCTCAAGCTTTGTTTGTCGGGAATTCTGGAGTCACGATTTCTCCCGCGCAATTTTCGAACGGTTGACGTGCAGCTCAGTACTCTTCTACCAATAAGCTTTTTATTATTATATTATCACTATTTTTGCATTAGTACATAAAAACTCATCTAATCCAGATTTGCAGTTTTAATCTTGTTAAAGTATAATTAAAATTCATTTGTTAAAATTTTGGTTCTCTTTATATCTTCTTCTTGTGCTATATCCTTGCTGTAATTAGTGATATTGGTTCTGTCTTGCCAGATTAACTTAATCTATCTCTGTATACCTCTTATTCTGTGGTTAGGTATAGCGTGAAGGGCAGACTATTTTTACTCAACAGTAAATTATCGTATAATCTTATGATTGTTTATCTTTGATTTTGTTTTATAAAATGATAATTGCTTTTTGACAAAAAAAAAAAAAAGATTAGAATGTAAGTACATGCTAGTCCATCCTCAATTTTCCTTTGAATGTAGTGACATACATTTCTATACATTTCTACGCTACCTACCACAAATGAAGTTGCTCTTGCCTTGGTTTGTATTTCCCGTATCAAATTTGAACTGTCCCATAAACCCCCAAAAAAAAAAAAATGAAATAAGCAATAACAATTAACCGTTCCTGATGGTTAAAATGTAGACAAAACTTATCCAAGAAAAGTCTACTGACTAATTTCTTGCACCACTTGGACTGAATGTGGCCTATTATGTCGGGTCATTACTAAGCTCAATGGTGAAGGTTTGATGGATCGATATTGATAGGCCCAGACTCGTAGCCCAAAAATGGATGGCCAGTCAACCCATGAACTTTGACAAACTAGGAGGAGCTAGCACAAGTCAAAGAGTGGTTATAACTGGTTGGTTGTTCGGAAAACAGAGGAAAAACAGAACTGCATAGATAATATGGAGTACTTATAACTTGCCTAACCATAGTTTTATATGCTGGATGGCAGCAAAACACAGACTCTTCAACACAAGACAGAATGCTAGTCATGGGGATCCTTTCAGCTAATGTAAATGTGAACTGTGTGATGCAGATGAGGACAATGTGGATCATCTTTTTTTTTCAGATGTAGTTACTCTCAGAAGCTAATACAATTAGGGTTGAATTGGGTTAAAATAGAGAGAATGCTACCAACTTTTAGAGGTAGTGTAAACTGGATGCTGAAGAGCTGGAGGTATAAGAAACTGAGAAGGAAAAATCTGTTTGCAGGAGTAGTAGTTGTTGTTTATCATATATGGAGGGAGCGAAATAAAGGAAGTTTGGCAATACTAAACTAGCAGAAGGAGTAAGGTTTAGTCAGATTGTAATGGAAATCAAATGAAAAATTTGAAACTATTGTAGAAAGAATAGTAACGATGATATCCGATACTTAGAAAGTATTGGATTGGCAAAATGAATGTATGCAATAGACAATAGGATGTTGTTTAGAAGATGATCAGTTGTGAATAATACAGATTTATCTTTTGACATAAGAAAAAAAATAAAAAATAGAAATATTTCCAATTGAGAAGTTCTCCATTTGAAATTCAGTTCAAGTATAATGTGACCCATTCCAAGATCCACATTAAGACATAATTTTGATGATTGATACACCATTTTTTGTATATTTTCTCTGCATCTATTACTACAGTTAATGTAATTGACATCGATTTTAAAAAAAAACATGAGGTGCATGATATATGTAAATGAAATTGAATCACATGTTACATTGCAATAAATTAATTTGGGATGAGAACGAATTGAACACATTTTGCTTAATGTACCGATCAACTAAACTTATTGAATGATTTATTTGATTGTACTCCTATAATGGACTGATTAATGAAAACAAAATACGTGCCCTCGAGTATTTTCGCTGGTTGAGGCATATCCGTAATGGCCTGATCAAATGCCTATTTCATGAGCTTAATTTACTCGTAGCTTTTGAGTTATTTTGTTTTTCTTTTTTTAGCCAAAACTAACAATTTATCCTAAATTTAATTTTGTGAGGCTAGCATGATACTCCCTTTGTCCGTATGAGTCATGGTTGTTGCAAGACTCGTGTTTCAGGACATCTGGTTATTTTTTTAGGACGGAAGAAATAGAATTGGATACTATTAAAAAAATAGATATGACACACATTTGCTTGTTCAACCCACTCTATTCCAAAACTAAAATGGCCTAATTTTGGCTTCTTTCTAGCCCATTTCACATAAACAAGGTTAACAACATAACATGGTTTCTGAGGCTCTGATAATGATTTTTCACCCAAGATTTTGTCTCTTCTACCTATTTCCTTTACAGTTCCTGAATGTTCAACATCACCAAACCAGAAATAGGTAAGCAGAAAAAAAGTGCTAGCTTCTGCAATCCAATTATTGATCTTCAAAGCATATAGGATGTAGGGACCTAAACAGGGTATATGCAACATCTTGTCAAGAAAAAATGAATCCAATGTAGCTAATGATTCCTAGGCTCCTGTACTGACTTTGCATGTGAATTTTGAACATTAAATACACCTGAGAATCAGGCCATATGTACCCATTTCAACATCATTGAAAAAACAGCAGCCCTTTTATTCACGAGCTTCTTTAACAACCTTATTAAATGATTTCCATGTTCAAAACAAAGCTAGCCCTTTATCATATGTATATATAGCTAGCAACCCTTCTCTTGATTTTTCTTTTTTTCTCTATCCATTTATATTTTTTTGCAGAAAAATGGGGGCTCACCATACAAAGGATCAAAGGGTACTGAGAAATGATGCAGTAGAAGGGCTTAAACAGAAGGTTATGCTTCTTCAAGAAGAAGTGAATGAGATAATGTGCATGAGGGATGTTGAGATCCAAGCTTACGAGCGCGAAATGATGGTTTTCGCGTTCAAAGAAGCCGAGTGGAAGAAAGAAAACAGGAAGTTGAAAGAGGAAGTCAAGAAGCTGAGAAAGAGGTTGGAAGATTACAGAGAAGAAGGGCTCAAAGGGATGGAACTTCATGAGTTGTTAAAGGGAGGAAAGCTTAGTAATGGTAAAGATTGGGTTTTTTTGGGGCCTGATTTCCTTTTGGACCAGGTTAGGAGAGATGATGCTGTGGAGAAGTGGAAGCAGCTGTATTTTGCAATCAAGGTTGAGCTTGATGATCTTATTCAGAGAACAAACAAAGGTAAAAATCCACTCTTTAACTTCTAGTCTCCATTTTGTCCCACAAAAAGATTACAGAAGAAATGGTTGTTTTTTTTTTTTTTTTTGCAGGGGAAGGACTGTGTTGGAAAGCTGAAACAGAAGAAATGTTGGAGGAACTAAGAAAGGAACTGATGAATAAAGAAAAGACTATATCATTTCAGCAATGTGAGATTGCAACAATGAAGCAAGAGGAGAACAAGAGGGAAAGGGAGATTGACATTCTTAGGCAGAGTTTGAAAATTATGTGCCACAATAAGAAAGGGAAAAAGAATTCCTAAAAAAAGAATTTAGAGATGCAATACAAACTGTGAGATTTTTCCAGACTATTGTGCATATCTGTGCTCAAGCAGTAGATTTTTGTTCTTTTTGTATCACAGAGCAACTAATCTATGACCAACCTAATATTGCATAGTGATCTAAACAGAAAAACAAAGACAAGTGAATGAAGGAAATCAAGCCTGCTAGTTTAAATGATTTATTGTTGTACATTAAGCTGCAGCAAAAAAGATACTATAAGAGGCCAAAGCCTAATTTATACTTACTAATTTCTAAGCCAAACCCAATACAGGAGAAGAAGAAGGATTCAAAAACTCTAGCAACTTGTCCTGATTTCACATATTTTTTAAGCTCCCTTTGCAGTTTGCAGAGCTGCTGCAAAATCTGAAATCCTGGAGTAAAAAAAAACACACGAAAGTGTTCTGAAGTTTGTTATTGGCGAATTGGGTCTGAACCTGACATGATTTTTAAAGTATTTGGTAACCTTAATCTCCATTGATTCACGGCATTGCGAAATTGCAGCTCTGTTCTTCTTCTGGTTATAATAAATGTTGGTGAAATCAAAAAACTGGTGGTGGGTTCTTCTTGTTGAACAACAGGAAGAGCTTTAACCTTAAAAAATCCTCCATTCACAAACTTATAAATTTCTGGGCCTGCGGGTGATGAAGTAAACATTTCTTTATCGCTTATATCAAACATGATATATTAAGATTGATCACTAAATTAGTGCTGTGATGTTTGGCAATTCTAGTATCTTTTAACATATCTTTCGTCAAGAATTCTGTTCAGAATGTCCTCCAGGACTGCAGCGGCCAATAGTAAAAAGAACTGAATTACAATCATCAACAGTACAAATAAACTTATTTCAACAACCAGCCAACCACATCTAAAGTATACAGAAAATGAACTTGGGGACAAACGAATCAAGAGAGACACCAAACCCTTCAGCTAAATCCTTCAAACCAGCTTCTCCTTGATCAATTAACTGGATGACACAAATAAGCACATAGATATAACTGTATCATCAGTACCCAAATCATTTCTTTGAGCATTGACCACAACTTGATTGCCATTTCTTCCCTTAATATTCTTTTGAATCTTGTCACCAACCATTAGTGAAGGCTGGACGACCATAGCCTCGGTATCTATGGGCAAGGACGCATCTCCTGTGCATTGACCACCGGTGACAATCTCGGCTTCCGAATGTATTGCACAAAAAGCTCGCAACTCAACCCTGTTGGTTATTTTGATGGTCCAAAGATAAAACAGAAGAGAAGATTCAGAAAGGTGGAGAACTTGATCCTCAACATTTAAATTAATGGAACAAAAAGGTCATCCAACAAATTTAAAAAATCAGAAGGGGTAATAAAAAAAGGCATACTTCATCACATCCTAGTCTTCCCCAAATCTCCATTCGATGCCTGGCTTCCCTAGCACACAGGATGAAAAGCAGTTCTACAGGTGAAGAACTAACCAATGAACCATAACAGGTGAAAAGCTCAAAGCTGATGAAATTATATTTATTTATATATAAAAGCGTCCATACAATGCGCAGGTCCTCTAATCTATACATAGAAAGATAATCTGGTCCTTCCTAAAGCTAATAAGATAGTACTAAAAACTGTAAAACAGAACTAATGTGAAACCCTAAACATGAGCATATGAATTCTCTTTTCCTAACATGCTTGGTGAAATTAGATTACATGAATTCAGAGCTCATCCAGCCTATACCAGCTGAATCTCCCTCCTCTTCCATGTCCCTGTGCTCTACTGTGAATCCACCACAAAAGGTTTGTAAGTGAATCCCCATCATCGTATCCTTTCAGGTTCCTGATCTTCTCTAGGGCACTTTCTTTGTCGTAAATGGCTTCCAACGCGAAGGCGGATCCCTTCCAACCTTCTCCAACTCCTTCCCTAGCCAAAGCTGGCTGAGTCCATGTAACTAGCTGTTTTGCGTACTGAACATCTGAGAACACAACCTCAGTTACAGGCAACAGCGGAAGGACTTGGATTCCTAGCCTACATTCTTTCCATTCAGGCGGCGCAAACCAAAGGGCACTATCCCTCTTATTTGCCCTACCATACCCACAACTTTGTTCTCTTTCGTAAATTTATCGCCATAGAGAATATCACCTTCCCTTACGTGCCACCAAGTTTGGGTAGCTTGAATCTCAAAGGCTGTGAGAGTAGACCCTATGGAGACAAGGTTAGTATCTCCGTAAGCCAACCCCATTAAAGCTGCTGAATAGTAAGCGTTTATTGCCTCGCTTGTGCTTTCCTGATTCCGGCCATCTCCAAATTCTGTCAAGCCTCCAGCCCTAGAATGCAACAACCAAAAGTCGAAACACCTCACGCGAGTATAACCTGAATCTGCCTTTCGGCTTAAACTCATATAATAATCTGCCATCATTGAGTAAGCTTGTGGTCTGTACTTCATTCCCCAGTTATGATCAATCTTTGTGAGAACAGAAATTCCATAAACAAAATAACCAAGATGATAATGGTGATCATTGTACAACCCAAAGCCAAAATCAGCCTCAGCATCCAATGATCCTTGTTTAGTCACAATGCCACCCCACTTTGGATCATACAGAAAACCATTGGTAGCTAATTTCCCATCCAACCAAGGTTCAATCGCATCCTTCAAGAACTTCCTGATTGCTGGAATAACATCAAGGTGTACCTCTTCAGCAATCAAAGCCAATCTCGCAGCTCTTGCCACCAACTTTCCATAAAAATAAGACGAATCCGTAGCTATAGGAGTTAGCCTTCAAAGCTTCAACATCCTTGATCAGGTCAGAAATGATCTCTTCTAGAGAGCCCTCCTTAACACCTCCGATCGAATGCCAAGTTACGAAAACAGGATCACTCTTCAAAAACCCACGAGTTCCCAACAACTTCAACTAACTCTCCATCAATGCTTTTGTACTTAAAATTCTCCAATACAGTAAAAGAACAATGAGCTTTGGAAAGAAGCTTAAGATGCAGGTGATGTGCAAGCATGAACAGTAAAACAGCATGACTACTTAAAGGGTAACGAGAAGTATAACAATCAAGAGTGGCTTCATTATTTGGGTCAGAATCAGGCGAAGCAGCTATCCTAAAAATCCCAGTAAATTCACTAGTAGTTAAACAAGAAAGTCCCTCCTGATTCAGAGTAATCAGTGAAGAAGCATACAATGTAATCGGTGAAGAAGCATACAATACCCAAGTCTGATTGTTATTCAACTTAATGGTAAACTTAGTCTGATCAGGATTCGATGAAATTTGCAGAATAGCATGAATAGTTGAAATTGAAACAGCAGACTTCCTCAAAACCTCAGCAGTCAAAAAGGGACTTCCCCTGACAAGATGGTATCGTAAATTGCTGGAAGGATGATCCAATGTCACACTCAGGTCACCGAAAGCAGAGACGACATGGGTTGCATCAGGGTTGGGATTATTCGCCGTGGTAATGGATATATCCGGGTTGAAACTCTGGTAAACGTATTTAGGGTTCTCGGTAATAGATGGCTAGGAGATGGAAAGCGTGGAACTGGCCGATTTGATGAGGTACAGGTGAATGTATTCCGGCTGGTCGCCGTGCTTGAGAACAAAGTTCTGGAAGAAGGAATTGGTGGGCAGTGGGGAGGGGAGGAGGTTTTGGGCGAAGAATCTTGATGGGTCAGGGAGAATGGGGATTTGGATGCCGGGAAACGAAATTGCTGATGCTCGTCTGTTATCTCCGGCTCCGGCGTGACCGGAGAAGGACTGAATACAATCGAATTCCACCAGAACAAACCCGAAGGGGTTAACGACAGGATCAATCCGAAAAGCTTCAAAGACAGAGTCTTGAAAGCCATTGTAGCTGAGAACTGAAAATTGATTCAATAATCAAACGGCAGAAACACAACCTCCTCTGTATTTATAGAGGAAGAAGGTCTTGATTAAGCAACTAGGATTTACTAATAATTTGGTAATTTTGAGTTGTGGGAAGTGTTATATTACAAGTAGGATTACTAAATTTCCCATCTTTTATCTGTTTGGGATAAAGAGCGTATCGAAGCCTGAGAAGGGGTGCCATGGGTGAATGTTTAGGTGTGGCATAATAGTTGCAGCTTTGAACTTGGCGCTGAAAATAAACGAATCAAAAGTGGCAAGACATCATGACATTGCCTGATCAGTTTCATCCAGTGGATCAATAAGACTTGATGAGAATCCAGTTGGATTGTGTTGATGAGTAGCGGTTATGATGCATCTTCTAAGGACTGTACTTTGAAAGCATGCGGGCTCTCTGTCTTTCCTAGACTTACTAATTTTAAATTGTGTTTTATGAGTCTTGTCTTTTGCCTTTTTAACTCTCAATACTGCATATACTTCATTCGAATATAACTTTGTCACTCTGTATTTCCTGCAGACCTGAGCAGCAGGCTGCGATCGAAAGTAAAAACTTAACTTGGCAGCTCAATTACAGGATGAAAGTTAAGTTAAAAAACTTGAGGCGGAATCATTGGCGCGGTTACAGTAAAAGCTCGGGCATATGAAATGAGGCATAAGACATTTGGTAAGACTTTGTTAACTTTTCTCGGTTGCTGCTATTTTCTTCTTCTTTTTTTTTTTTAGTTATTGATCTAATGGAATACATGCGGAATACCTGTCTATGTTTGTAGTTACTCGATTTTTGTAGTGATCTAACTGGCAGCACATTTAGTTTATCGTACTGCAACAAAAATGAGATCACCAACCTTTGTCATAACAAGATAAATACAATCTATGTGCAGCAGCAAATTATGGTTTTGATCTCGATTTAGTATGTGCAGCAGCATACTGCATTGGGAGTGTCTTTCTTTTCGTGGAGTCTATATGAGCAGTTTTGGGTGTGTGGTTTAAGTTAAACTACGTAACAATGCAATAAAAACTGGAGGGAACGCGGAAATAGAATAGGGTTATGATTAGGAGGAAACTCAAACAGGAGTTGTAGCTGTCGTGATTTTATTTTGTCAAATGTAATTAACGAGTTTCTCCTAATAAAGTACAACAACATTGTTGCCTCTTGGGTTTTGCTTTTCAAGAATTCCATAGTTATTTAGCCGTAGAGCATTGTGCTGCTGCATCTGTTTTATACGCCGGAGTAATGAGTTTATTAGGGGTCAGAAATGAAGCAAAGCAATGGGATATGTATATATTCTCTATAGGCTAAATAACCTCAAACGACTAAGATTTTTCACAAATTCTGATGTCTGAATTCACAGTATCAATAACTGAGAAATCTGAACTCTGTCAGCAATTCCAGCCTGAATCAAGAATATTCATCTAGGGCATACAAAATGCAACTCGATTATGAGTCAAAGCACCAATTTGAGTTGATAGTACAGCAGCTTCCAAGAACCATGTGGACAATGATAGAAAATGTAAGACTTTATTAGTTTTTTTTTTTCTCTGTTGCTGCTAGATCAAGTTGCTGCAACCATAAATGGCCTAAAACTTGGTGATGCAGACTATCTTCTGAAACCTTTACAAGCTGAGGAACTCTCATTGTGGATGCGCATGGCGGAAAAGGTGAACCATTTTTTGCTCCTCTGATATTCAGAATCATGTTTAGTTTACTTAGATGAAGTAACCTTTACCAAAATGCTTGATCTTATTGAGATTTGGATAGGTTTGTTACTGATTGGTGCAATGGTATTGAAAAGTGAGATGTCATTCGGATTTGGATAGGTGGCTTACTGATTGCTTCAATGGTGTTGAGAAGTGAGATGCAATTCGGCATAGGACATGTATGTTACTTTTAGCTTTTAACTTGTTTTCATTTAAGTTGAGCTTTATTTAGGATTAGGACTTATGTAAAGAAATAGTAAGCTTGTTGGTGTATTTGATGCTCAAATCTAAGTATATATTATTCTCTCAATCCAACTAACATGGATAAGAGCATGTATTCCCGAGTTACAAGACTCAAATTTGGATCTCCAAAGGGATAGTAAACTAAAATTATTGATTTGTCCTATGTTTTACCTATTATGTATTTTTTTTTTTTAATTGACAAAAAAATCTTAAAAATATATTTTCATATTCGTTATATTCTCTTGATTGTTATGAAATATTTTTAAAGTTTTTTTTTTTACCAATTATAAAAATGTGTATTAGATGAAACCTAAATCCAATCAAAATATATCTATTGTACTTAATTAAAGCGGCATACAAGAAGGACACATGTCAGTTCCACGTTGAAAATTTTCCTGCTAAAACCCTTTTTCAGTACAAAAATGAAAAACGCCATGTGGCATTCCAGATGCTCAGAAAAAAGGCTTGCTAGAGGAGTCTTCTCAATTTGGAAAAATAGAATATTTATTTTAGTAAAAATAAAAAATCCGCACTTCCCACCACAAAAAACGGTAGTCAAACGCGGTTCCTCAAATTATAATCCCATATCAATTCTCCAAATCAATGTTCTGATATGGTATGGAAGAATCAGAGCATATCTTTCTAATCTCAAATTTAAAGTTTAAAAAGATCTCATCCGATCCATCAAAAAATTAAAAATGATTATTAATGTGTTGGTTCTTTGTGTGTGGGACTGTTCAACCCTAAATTGATGATTGCCGCTCTCCGAATACTTCTCCTCCTCCATCGCCGTCTAAACCTCCTACTATTTCCTCAACGTTAGTCACAACGATCAACGAGAGGATCACATTCACACCACTCGCCAAGTCTCCTATTCTTCTTATCATCGGCACCAGCATGCTTGAAATCCGCGTCATCAATTTCCGATTTGTTCTACGTAAAGGAATAAAGAGGCATCAACAATATGTTTCGATGATTATTGGATCAAAATAGTCATCTTTTCCGCGGCTCCGCCTCTTTCGTGGGAGTCCAGGGAAAATGGGATCGGTAGGATCGAAATAGTAGGATCGTAAAATTAATTATACATGTTATATAATTAATTGCTTTGATAATGCAATTGCAATAATATTTAGATAAAGTATTTAACATTTAAACAAAAAGAAATGTGTAAATTCAATTTTCTTATATAAATTTTTGCATAACTTTTTAATAAAAACTCTTCTCTTACAGTTCTTCTTTTCATTTTATTTGAAAAACTTTCTAAAATACATTTTTCTTAGCAATAAAAATTTCCTCAAAGAATATTAGCCTCAATTGAATGTGAACCAAAAAAAAATAAGAGAAAAAAAATCTCAATAAGGTCAATTGATTTTTTGTAATTAATGAATAGTAAACTCGGACCGATCTTACGATACTGACCGATCATGTACGATCCTGACTGATCCCACTCCGATCCCACTGTAAAATTCGAGTTTGATCGATCTAGGATCGATTTATGTATCTGGAATCGTAGGATTGGACGATCCTACGATCCAGGATCGCGAGTTTGCAAACTATGCTTTGATCGATTGTAGCGCTATTGCTAGGTGAGGAGCTTCTCCTCTCTTTTTTGTTGCCAATTCTTTCATTTTCTTTATGACATATATCTGTTATATTTATTATGATGTGCTTATTGCCTTTTAAGTGTCCTGAATTTTGGCAGTTGTTGATAGTTTTTGAGTAGAAAGCTGCAAATGATGTCACAGACATGGATCTTTCTTCAAAATCTAATGATCCATTTGTTTTTAGAAACTTTAAAAATAGTACTGAAGTTAAGCAGGCATGGTTATGCTCATATTCATGTTAATTTCATTTGTCGATTTTTAGCATCTTCAGATTCCTCCAAAATGTTTGGAGGTAATGCCTACATTTGGCGGCACATTTGTCGTTCAAAGTTTCGTGAGGTAATGCCTACATTTGATGGCACATTTCTTTCAACTTGATGGCATATTTTACTTTTCCTGCCGAGTTGCAAGTTTCTTAAGTGTAGTGTTTGTTATCAAGTCCAAAGATTGTTGTTTTAGTTTGATCAAGAATGCCCGAATTGGGAGCTTATAATTTATTATGCAAGGAATTTCAGTTTTGTTAAGAAAAAAGGGTATGTACTATTGATCAAACAAGTACAGGAACTAAGGTTACTATCCAGTTATTAAATCCATGAGTACAAGACTAATCTGCTTTGGTTTGTTGTTCGGATTGAACCATCATATTCCATATTTATTGAAGAAAGTAAGGCATAAACAAAAATGGATTATTACTAATTCTCTTCTTCAATCTCTTGAGATTATAGTTTTATCCGTTTTATTCCATTTGATAATATGTAGGAGATCCTTAGTAGGTTAAGCCGGGTTTTGATAGATAGCCTCTTTATTTTTGCTAAAATGTTTTGTATGTCAATTTTAATTTCTCTCTGTTGAATCGTACAGTTTTATTTTTTACCATTTGGTGTTTTTCCCCTTGCTTTGTTTTACTGAGTAAGTGATATTTGCTACAGTAACTGATATCTATTTTACTTTGTTCTAGGGAAGAATTATGTGAGAATGTTTTTGTGCATTATGCGCTGGATTGAAACCTTTCTACACAAGATGTATGCAGAAGAGCTGGAAAAGCTAATTTACATCATAAGATATGGTTCAAAGGAGCTATTTTTTCTGATGATAATGATAAAGCTGGAAAATCTCAACAAATCCATTATGATCCAAAAAATATCAAAAAATTGGTAAAATGGTTAATGTGAGTATTCCTTCTTTTTGTATTACACTAGTTTTCATCTTCTTCTTTTTTCGGGCTAATATGTTGATTGATTTGGAATCAATAGTAGTTTTTGTCCAAAGATCTTGCCCAAGATAGTGTTATAAAACTGTCTTATCTATTACATTGCAGGCTTGCATCCTTTTAAAGTGAGATTGGAGGATATTGTTCAAGACTATAGCTGATTTGAAATTAAAACTTTCCGTGCAAACAGAATGGGAACTTTTACTGAGGACCAAACTTTTGTGATTTCTATTTAAAAAATGTGAACCTTATAGATACAGTAGATGACTTACCACACTTTTGTTTACCATATATACTTTTTTGTTTATAGTTTTACACACAGAATGGATGACTTACCACACAGAATGTCTAGATTGAGAATGCAAATTGTTTATATGTATACCTATAAATTTTTTTGAATTATGAATTTATTCTTTTTATTTAATAAATTTAAAAATGTGTATTAGATGAAACCTAAAACCAATCAAAATATATCTTATATTAAGGACCGAGGGAGTAATAGCATTCAGATTTCCACCGGAAAACATGTACACAGCTCTTTCAAACAGGTATTACCTAATCATGTACATTATCGTATAGAGCTCACTCATTTTATTTAATTTTTTTTTCCCCCGAAATTACACTTCCAAAATGTATCCTTTTGACATTCCTGAGTACAACATTTTTACATTTACAGTGCCTAAAAATCGAAAATAAGACTAGAATAGTTGTATACACGCATATATCCTTAATATCAGTCCTGAATTTTTACAACAATGATGCATTACCTCTAAACAAGCTTGAAATTCTTCTAAATTGCGATTTTTTTAACACAACAACCTATACTTCAGAAGTATATACCTTCAACCAATGGGCAAGCTCTTCTCCTCATTTGGTTGTGATCTTGCAACAGTTTGGTAATTCGATCTCACGCTCTGCGAAGATGAAGAGGTATAAAAAACAAATGATTAGGTAAGATAACTAAAGGACCATTTAAGGTTCAAATAACAGATTGTGAAAAAGGATAGCACCTCCAGCAATGTAACATAATAGAAATCCTCCATATGCTGCATAAGGGCACTTCCATCTCTGATCGAAAGAAATATGTTTATTTCCGTGTTCAGTATTTTCTCAATCAGCTGCTTTTCACCTTTCATCTGCAGAAAACATTTCTGTCATTGAAAGTAATGCATCTGACAAGGCGACAACCACAAATCTCTTGAGAACAGAGAAAGTTCACCTTCAAAGTTTCTAAAAGAGAACTCCTATCATAAACAACATATGTTATCGAGAAAAGCATATAAGCTTTGTGATAGGTTTAAAGATCTATGTTCTCCTGTTGAAGGTGATAATATTTGGAATGCATAAAAGTACTAGATTCTGATAATAGGTGATATATAGCAAGGTGATAATTCAAACACAGAGGAGGTAAGATGACATTGTCTAAGTATCTCCAACAAGCTTACTTTATTAAGAGAGCATAAAATTGTTAGACATAAGTAATGAAGTTATAGAGAATTCAAAGCAGAAGTTGGTTGGGATCGTACAAATTCACTGACAATAACATCTGGTGTGGATTCTCCGAGCACGTCACCCTCGTAACCATCAGCCATGAGACTCATATTCTCCTGAAACAGGATGTTATCAAATTTAAAAACTGCAGCTTCAGCAAGTAGCTGATTTTATCATGATATATCAGATATTCACATTGTTTCAATTGTCATATTTCTTGGACGAAGACTAATAACAAAAAAAGTGGAAGAATTAATGTTCATTGATAGTTAATTCAGACATAGAACTTCCCATTTTGGAAGAACTTGTAAAAACCAAAACTATGAGGGTATGACCAGTTATTAACCATCCATGAAAATTAATGTTCATTGATAGTTAATTCAGACACAGAGAACTTCCCATTTGAATCTACAAACCGACATCACGAGAAGATGAAGAATCAAAAGTAAAACTCACCAGTGCATTCTCCAGATCTCCAGGTGCCAAATAAACTGGTTGAGCCACATGGCAGTAGCCCATCAAACGTGGGACTGTGGGTATTATATCCCTGTGATTTACAACTCTCCAGCTGTCGTGCACTTTCTGCAATGCAAGAAGCTATGAGTGAAAAACTTCATACGACTAGCATCTCATGATACAAACAGCATCTCTCATATACATAAAGAAATAGCTCATAGCCTCATACCAATACCATATCCCAATACAACCGGAGAGAATACGACAACCATCTCACTCAGGCAGACTTTTACGTTCTAATTCAGAGTGGTCAAATTGGTTATGCTAAGAAGTGGTTTCATGCAGAGATTGTTTAGTTTGTACAAAACAAGGAAATGGTTTCATACTTCTGGATTAACGTTTATTAAAAAAACAAAAGCCATCATCCATTGTTTGGAGAGAATAGAAACAGTTATGACCACATAAAGCCACTTCTTTTATGCAATCTTCTCATACTTTATAATACTCACTCCCAATTTTGAGAGGCTCGATAGCCAGATTTCATAGGAGAAGAACCCACACAAAATGTCAAAATCAGCTACTAAGACAAAAACTTTTAGACTCAGGCATCATGGCGTAATCTGAAAACTGCAAATCTAGACAAAAACAACCTCATTGTAAAGTTCAGCAAATTTCTTGTTTCCAACTCTGGGGGAGCCAAAATTGTACATTGTCACTGAAATTGCCCCCATTCTGCATCAGATTATTGAGGAAATAGCAACAGAAGTCAGTAGAAAATCCTGAAGATAAACAAAAGCAATTTAAAGACACGAGACATAGTGTCACTGAAGTTCCAGAAGGATCTGCTACTGAAGGGACTTCCCTAATGCACCAACAGTTATAGAGCAACTTAACTGACTCAGAGACAACTGAAAGAATTCACTTAGACACAAGAAAACATATCTGTAGATTCAACTGACAGTCCTACAATGACTCATATTGATTAAGAGTTTACAATCATAAAATGAGGGGAAAAGAACTCGAATGCAATAATTAACTCACTTTGCTAGTTGACTAGATGCAAGTTCGAGGGCAAGAAGAGTAGCTAGCGCACCACCCAAACTATGGCCGGTCACGTATACATGCCATTTGGACAGCGGCTGAGGGTCATCATCACTGCATTAAACACAAAACTTTATACCTGAAAAAGGATGTTTTGGGATGCAGAAACTGAAAACGAAGACAAGCCGGAGATTTGGAGTGACAGCAAGTTAAAAGCAGGAGCAAAGCAATAATGAGCAAACTTTTTACGATGTTTCATTTATATTTTAATTACAAATCAGGTGGTAAGAATAGTTTATTCATTAAAGTGATAAAACATGCTCTTACTAGTAATGGATATGCAGAATACTTGTCTCTCTAATCACTTACTTATAACCAACCACCTGTTTAATCAGTCTAATGATCCTCGTCCGAACTGAATCGTATGCACTCAAGAAACCACTATGAACCTGCATAAGATGAGTAACAAAACATTAAATCCCCAGATTCGGACACCTGAAGTTGATAATGAATGTGGAAGTATTTGTACCTGAACTTCTTCCTTGAAATCACCACCAATTCTTTCAGGATTCAACCTAAATAAGTAGAAAATCCATCAGCAATATATCCACACATAAAATCCTTTCAGAATCATGCATTTAGATTCCCTCAAACCCATCGTCAGATGCTAAATCATTCATTTTCATGACCATCATTGGATGCTAAATAATTCATCAATATGCATGTGAAATTTTGGAATGGGACTTGTCAGTTACAGAAGTTCAATATGCATAGAATTAATGATCCTCTCAAATAAGAACAGGCAACCGAATATTTTTAGATTTTAAGAGGAAAAGGATGAGAAGTGTAGAAGAACACATTACCCTGCTGGAACAAGCATTAAATCTGTCCGAAGGTCCTTCCATCTAGCCTACACCATTCTAACAAGTCAGATGGTAAACCAAGAAACCAAATGTAACTAATTCAAAGGGTTGCAACATGAAACTAACTTACTTGTTCAGTTCCCCTGAAAGCAACGACCAATCTTTTTCTCGATGGATCACGCCAAAGTGCAACCTGAAAGTTTCATAAACTGAGTGGCTAAAGCACATGTAAACCATACAACTCACTTCAGTAAACATGTTACACAAACAAGATGACTCTGGTTCATGAAATGGGTGTGTAACTATCCATAGTGATTATCATATACTTTTTAATCTGTACTAGCAAGATGCATGACTTGTAAAGCACGAACTTGCCTGTGTGTCAGTGGTTGAGTTATCTAAGAAGCAGATTTTTTCAAATTCAGATTTGATGAAGCTCGGGTGGCCCAAAGCAGTTGCTAACATTGCCCAAGCTTCCATAGCACTCTCTGCTGATGAAAAGAGAGCTCTCATCTCCTCTGCTTTCTTCTCATCCAATATTAAATTATCAGACGGAATAGCAGCTGATGTGCTCTCCGAAATATCATTTCTTGTTTCTTTGGAAGCACTTGATTCCTCACCATCTTTTCCTAGCAAGCCTGCGCCTTTGCTTATTTTGGAAACTGTAGCATTAAGAACCATTAAAGCTCCCAAAACAGCATCTGTTTGCTGTAACAATTCTTGAGTCACCTTCTTTATATTCGCAAGTGATGACTGATTTTGATTTGGAGAATCACCAGAATCACTATCCTGATCCTCTGGTGTTGCAAGCCCTGATTCGATATAAACTGTCTCTGCATTTTTCCGTGACTGCAGACCAATATTGTTTAGTATGTCAAATCCATCCCATTTTATTTTTGAGGGAGCTGGAAGACCGAACCTCTGAACGACGTTCTGATTAACAGTATCACCGAGTATCTTCCAGAACTGCTCATCTGATTCTGAAGGCTCACCAGCTTGACCCTCTCTATTATCCATGGCACTGCTTTCTATGTCTTCTTCAGCTCGACTATCCCTTACTTTCTCCATTCCATCAGTTGAAGAAGACTCAGGCATGCTCTCTGTTTCTAAAGTTGTGCCCAACTCTGCAGTAGGATCATTAGAATACTTCTTGCCTTCCCCTGCAGTTGGTAACCAGTTCGTGTGAAGGTATTCATCATTCAATGTCTTTATTTGGCCAAAAGCAAACTCAACAAACTGGCGGGCCTGCACTGTCTCAGAGCCAAGAGCTGTTTTTATCAAATTATCAAAGCCATACTTCTCAAGAAATTCTGTCACAATGGGTATCCTCCACCATTGCTTTTCTTGATCAAGTTTTTCAAAACTCTTGTATCTGATCTGAAATAGGGAATAGGGAGAAAGATGCATTCTGTCAAAGGATTCATTGACGTTCTTCTCTGAAAGCTTGTAAAAAACTAATTGGATAATCCTCAAAGTAGCAAATAAACTATACATTAGAACCGAATCCATTATTATCAAGGCTAGACAGCTTTGTGGTGTGGTTATGTCTTTACATTAATCATTCTATAACAAGGTTTGAATTTGAACCTATCCCATTCTTCTTGAAGCTTGGTGCTTCCTTTTATTTGAAGGAAGAAAATTATGAAAAGATAATAAAGAGAAAGAACAAATGGAAGATCTAGAATATGCACGGTTGCGCACAGTTATTTCAGTTTTTCTGTTCAGTCTGAAGTTGCAAACAGTAGTTTGTTCCGCACATTTACGTCTTTATTCAACATCTTCCTAAGACAACTTAAATATTTTTACAACAGAAGCATCTTCAAAGGTATCATCTTTCAAGTAGGCGAGGTCAGGAAAATTGATTAATCATTTCACTTGTTGGAGGGAAACATACCTCTAGCTCTATCTTTCCACCACCCCCCATTCCTTCCAGATCTACTACCACATCATGCAAACTACCTAGCAATAGGAAATTTTGTTATTTCCATAAGTTGAAAGACTTAGAGAGTCTAATTAGAGCTCTATCAAAATTAACTCATGCAATATCCCATGAGGAAAGAGTTAGACCATCACACATTACAGTCATCGTGGACATTTTGAATCTAGACTCTTACCATCACAGACTGACTCCAGTTCAACGCCAGAGTTTCCCATGCGCTTATGAGGAGTTACAAGATTTGCATCCCAAGCTGCTACCTATGTTCAAATGCATATGTAAGCCAATATTACAGAACATCAATGACCATAAAGAAGTAGCATCCAGTAATGTACACGTGTCTGTCTAAACTCTTTCTTCAGTAACTAATGCATCAAGAAGAAGAACCCACAAATGTACACAATTCTCTTGAGCACTCTTTTTTCAGTACATAGTGCACCGAGGATTTCAAAAGCCAGTAAAGCAAATAGCTGGGAATGTCGAAAGCAGATACTACAGACAAGGAAGTGTCAAAATTTTCATTTGTTAATAATAATTATCACATGATAAACTTGAAACTTTCACTTCTGTAATCAAACACAAGGTCAAAGTTAAGTTTGGTACTAGCTCAAAGAAGGCAACACTGTAAACACTGGGCAAAAAATATGAAAGGCCATAAAGTGACAATTAGGAAATGGAAGGAAGTGCAAATTTCAAGAACATGTGGCAACATTCTTCCTAGTATGAAAAAGATACACCAACAAACGTTCAGCAAAAACGCCAGCAAACTTCTTACATGAAAGATCCACGTGGAGAAAGACTTTGGACAATGTAGTCATGCAGTACACAGACTTGATGCATACATCAGACAGAACAAAGTTCCAAAGAGACAAAATAAACAGGCTCATTCTTTTTATTAAAAACAGTAAAATTTTGCACTTAGGAGTTCCAGAGTGAAGTGCCTCGAAGATTGCAAAGGGATCCAGTTACTTGCACAAAATGGAACGAGCAAGAATGGTGAAACATAAATTCTTGATAATTCGTAATGGGTGATTATAAGAACTCGACAAAGACAATAACTAAAAAAACAAAAAATAAAAAATAAAAATTCACATGCTATCTATTCTAGCCTATTCTCAGTTATGCAATCTGGACTTGAACGCTAACTTTACAAAATGCTCATACTCCAGAATTTAAATACTTGGCCTATGCTGTGAATATCTTAGACAAATCTTGAACAAAAAAAAGAAAACTGAATTAGAAAAGTAATTCCCCAGAAGTTTCATCACAAACCTGAAGAATCTTGTCCGGAGACAGCTTTATATTGAATACAAACTCTTCATTCCAGGTTGGCTCTTTGGTCCTGCAAATATTCAGTTTGTCACAACTGAGCGTTCCAGTTTTGACAACAACAGGAAATTTGCTACAGTTTACCAATGCATGGAGAATGCAAACAAAAGAATTTTTAATGAAAAGATGCTGGACTTGCGAGTTTCAAAATACTGTTGAGCTGATATTCTCATAGTCTCCAATTAAACATACGTACTTACAAAAACTCTTTAAACAAGTGAATAACTCCAGTCAATACCAGCATAAACAAAAGTAATTCAGATAACCAGAATTGTGATAGAAAACATAAATCGTTAACTTAAACTAAAAAGAAAAGATAAAAAGATTTGAAAACAAACTATTAAAGAAAATATTTATTAGACCAAGATGAGAAAATGGATAGCTAGTTAATGCATTAACCCAAACTTCACATATGAGTGTAAAGGCTAAGATGTCGATGTTTTGTGTTCTAAGTATCAATATCAGGATGCCCAAAGCTTACCCCCATTTTGTCTTGCTTTTGAGAACCTGACTATCCAGTTGGAAGACAACATAAGGATCACTTGTTCCCTGACAACAAAATAAGTTTCAGCATGAAAACAAAGAACTGAGTCTTACTTGTCAAAAAGGTTGGGTGAACTTAAAAGAAGTTTAACCACTGGTAAAATAGTAAACCCATGTAGCGATTATACCCATAAATCCATCGCAGGAAGATTAAGTCCCTTCTTTAGTTTTATGAATAGTTGGCCATCATAAATTTCCCGGACAAATGACCTGAAGATATGAATAAGTGGACATGATTAGTTGAAGGTCTCCATTGACTAATAAAGTGTCAGAGTTGCCAAAAACGAGCTACATATCTTAAAGAAATGCCTCAACAACAATACAATTCATAATTTTTATTACATGATGTGGTAGGATATGTTAGAATTCACTCAAATAAATAAACAGATGCTTTCAGACAAGTACTATAAGAACTACGGAACATTCTCTCTCTGTAGTGCAGAATATGCTTTTATTACCAAAATGTATGCAGTATTTGGAAGCACTTTAAGACTGTGGGAAAAATAAGAAAAAAGAGAATTAGACATGTGGGGAAAAGATCAAGTAACGGTGTTTCTTTCAGAGTAACTCCTCAAAGATCAAGTAACAGGTGTTTCTTCCAGAATTAACCAAAATAAAAATATAGATTAATCAAGATCAAGTAACTCCTGTATTGTAACCAGTTGAAGTAACTCTAGATTAGTCAGTCCTTTCCTGCTTTCAAACATACACCACTTGATATAAGGGATAAGTAAGTGGTGTTTGCTAAATAAGAGAAGATGATGACGTACTCTGAAAGAAACACTGTCTGACAACCAGCTGCATCCACCTCGCGTTTTCCAACATCTTCCTGATTAAAGTCAAAGCCCGTAGCAGTCAAATTGGAGTCTTGCAAACAGAAGTGAAGAGTGTGGACATCATATTTATTTCAATTATAGTTTCATTCGTTCCTACAACTTAACTTTCATCCTACTGTGTGTGTCAGCTAATTATGTTCGGTCAGTACATACATCATCATTTGTGCTTGAATCAAATGTTGTTTTCTCATAGTTTCTTTCCAATTGTTATTAGTCTTACCAATTTCCTCTCTCATTTGAAATTGAAGCCAAAAATTTACATTCTTTGCACGGCTTACTGGAAATACATAGGCCTCTAATTACAGTCCCAGACCATGTTTAAAATGTTTCTGTCACTGTCTCCTATTGGAGCTACCCATTTTTTTCCATCATTTTCTGGATTTTACCTTACCAACTGCTTCTGGTTACCGGCACACTTATTTCAACATTCATGTTCGTGCACTCATTTTTCATTCATCTTCGTAGTTAGAAACAATCCATTCCTAGGAAGTTTAAATGACTGTTCCATGAAAATTTCCTTTCAGTGTTCTTATCTTCTAACAGGGCTAGAAACTTCTGTTCCATATTAAATTTGACCATCATAGCTTTTCACAGAAACAGAGACCAATGTCCAGTTATTTGTCCCAATCAGCATCTCACTTGGTTCTTTTAAGCAAAAATTAAGTGAATATCAAATATTGCATTACGTACAACAAGGATCTCTACTTCACAGTTACTCTACCATAATAAGCACTACAAATACAGTAAATCATATTACTCCAAAACCCAAACGAAACCTTATCTTTCTAAAAAATATAATGCAATCCCATCTCCATTTATATAAAAATACGTCAGAACATAAAAGCGGTTCACTTTACTAAATGATTAAAGCATTAATAAAGCTGAGAACTTTACTGGTGGAGTTGTGTAAGCTTCAAATGCAAAGCCAGCAAGAATAACAGCCAAATTGATATCAAAAGGAGGCCTTTCATGCTCGTTCCTCCTTTCCTCTTCAGTCACAATGGGCTCAAGCTCTGCACTTTCTTTGCTAACTCGGCACAATGGAAAGGACCCATTAACAGGAATGCTTCTGGAATGCCTCAAATCCAAGAACCCAGAAATTTTTTTCGACCAAAGAAGCTTTCTTGAGTAAGAAACTGAATTGGGATTCCTAAAATGGAGTAATTTTGGTGAGTATGAAATTGGGTCATGGAGATAGTACCGTGGCAGTTGAAGACTAGCCATTGAAGCAGAACTGTACAGAAAATATTATCTGATTGGGCATCAATTTTGCTGTTTACTACTTAATCTTTTATTTTCAGGAAACAAAAAAATTATATTGGAGGGATGATGAACAAAAAAGTCGATGAATTAGCGTATTGCAGAGAAGCACGGAACAGTGGGAAAGCTACATGTAAAGAAGTTGCTAGAGAAATCCAGTGGCTCCAACCGTCCAAGGAGTTAACGGTCGTTCTGACAATCATAAACGTGTTTTTTTTTTTAATTCTTTTTATCTATTTTTATCCTTTAATAATCAGACTTTTGGTTTTTTTTAATCTCTCTGTTTAATTGTTCCAATCTTCCAGACAATGGGAGTTCGTCCTAATCTATCAATCTATTATTATTATTATTATTATTATTATTATTATTATTATTATTATTATTATTATTATTATAATAATAAAAACCTTAACTTCCATAATAGCAAAAACTATTTTTTATCCAAAAATTTAAGTGTCAAAATGTCCAAAAAAGTCCCCTCACCAAATCTAAAGAATTTAGTCCGGTTTAATTTATCCTAAAAACAAAATATGGTAATTACACTTATCGAAAAAAAAGATAATAAAAAAAAACTTTTGTATTTAACCCTCAAATTCATTACTATAACGATTAAATAACCACAATCTTCTATTCTCAAATAAAACTTCTCTACCAAAGATTTCTTAAATACTGTACCAATTTCTTTCATCCAAATATTAGTAACACAATTAAAGAATTTATAATTTCAATTTGTTTAATTGTGTAACCACTACAAGTGATGCAATAGAGAGAAAACAACTAAAACAAAGAAGAAAGACATGACACCTTTTGAAAATGTCACACAAAGACCTTTTATTGTTACACTTAGAAAGTTTTTGTCAATATTAGTGACACTAAATTATAATTCAATATTTCAAATTTGTTATGTGTTGTAACTTGGTTACGATTGACGAATTAAAATTATAATTTACTTAGAAGAAACAAAAAAAATTTAGTCCTTTTAAATACCCGTGCGAAAGCACAGGTCCATAACCTAATAATAATAATAATAATAATAATAATAATATAGCCTGGGTGGCATGGTTAGATGAACCTTCGGGTGTAAAACTATTGTTTTTCTTTTTTTTAAAAAAAAGTGTTTGAAAATTATTGTCCATTATAATATTTCAACCAAAGGTTTCAAACAAAGATTCTAATAAATTATTTATTTGGGAGATAATGTATTTGATTTATGTTATTTCTGTACTAGAAACTTTTTAAAATAACTTTATTGTAGTTGAATCATTATAAAATAATTATAAGACTTATAAAGAACGAAAGAAAGGAAATGGTGAAGTTAATTTTAAAGGAAAATGCACGAAGAAAGTAGTGGGTAAGGGCTTGTTTGGCCAATATTTTGTTTTAGTTTTTGTTTTAATTTTTGATTTGGGGTTTAAGATGTGATTTAAAATGTGGTTTGAGATAAAATTTAAAAATTTATTTAGGTGATATTTTAAATAGACTAATAATATTTTTAGACCACCTCCACCGCCGCCGCCGCCGCCGGACGACCACCGGCCAACCGGATTTCGGCCGGAATCCGGCCGGCCGGCAGCGATCCGGCAGTGGCAGTGGAGGTGGTCCGGTGATAGTGGATAAAAATTGTGTAAAAATAATTTTTGAAATATTTTTTAAAAGCTAAATTAAAAAGTTTTTTGGATAGTATTGGGATTTGTGTTTGAGAGGTATTTTAAGAGGTAAAATGAGACGAAAATGCAAAATAAGTGTTGGATAAAGCCCTTAGTTTTCATATAATTTTTTGTGTAAGTTTACCGGACTACACGTAGCTTCTATTTATAGTCTACATGTAATGGTATCTATAGTACTAGTGTTGTACCCGTGCGGTGCACGGTGATAAATTGACTGTGTTAATTAGATAGAAAAGTTTTATATATTTGTATGAATGATGATTCAGTAAATGTATTGTTTATTTGCTAATAAAGTAGTACTTATGCAATGATTTTCGTTGATGGACGTGTTACCAACAAAAAAAATGGAAAAAAATGCATTAAAATATTTAATCCAATTTAATTCGTAAGAGATAAAAACACACAATAAAAATTCAATTTAACATCATGTCACTATGTATCATCATGCTTAAAGGTTCCATGTTTTTGGTAGGCTGAAAATCTGCAACAGTTTTAGCTGCTATTTTAGTATTTTTTTAACAACTCGTTGAACCAAAAAAAAAAAAAAAGAAAAAGAAAAAAGAACCAGTGGTCTCATTCCATCTTCATTTTAATCGTTAACAACATTTCACTCCGCGTTATCTCACTTAAAAGATTCCAAGTCTTTGGTAGGTTAAATAATTGTAATGGTTTTGTCTAGTATTTCTGTATTTTTGACATCCCGTTAAACCAAAAAAGAAAAAGAAGAAAAAAGAAAAGAAAAGAAAATTCATCTTCATTTTCACTTTTAATACCATGTCACTTTGCATATTCCTGTTTAAAATATTCTAATTCTTTAATAAGTTAAAAAACTGCAATGGCTTTGGTGCCAATAACAAAACATGGGAAAAAAATACTTTAGAAAATTTAATCCAATTTAATTCATAAGATATAAAAATACGTAATAAAAAAATAATTTAAATAATAATTATTAAAATTGGATCTAAAAATAAGACCTTGCTATTTAAATATTTCTGACAGTCCGTTAAACTAAAAAAAAAAAACAGAAGATCTCATTCGATCTACAATTTAATCTTAAACAGTATGTCACTTTGTATTGTCTTGCTTAAAGAGTTCTTAGTTTTTAGTATGTTAAATATCTGGAACGATTTTAACTGCTATTTAGTATTTTTGGCACCCCGTATAATACCAAAAGAATAAAAAAGAAGAATGAGTAAGAAGATTTTTTGTTCAAAGATGATACTTATCGATAAATTATTAGTTTAGTATTTTCGACAACCTGTTGCAATCAAAAATCGGCGGTCTCACTCCAATTTCTTTTATATTTTTAACATCATGTCACCCTGTATCGTCCTACTTAAAGGTTCCATTTTTTTTTGGTTAAAAATCTGCAATGATTTTAGTTGCTATTTTAGTATTTATAATAGCCCGTTGAAGCAACAAAAAAAAAGAGAAAAAGAATTAGTGGATCTCATTCCATCTTTATTTCTCTATTTAACAACATGTCACTCTGCGTTCTCACTTAAAAGGTTCCGAGTTTTTGGTAGGTTGAAAATTTAAAATTATTTGCCTGCTATTTTAGTATTTTTGGCACCTCGTTGAGCCCAAAAAGAAAAAGAAGAATAAGTAATAACTATTTGTTCAAAGATGATACTTGTCGATAAATTAATAGATTAGTATTTTCGACAACCCGTTGCAATAAATAACTTGCGGGTCTTATTCCATTTTATTTTATATTTTTAACATTATGTCACCCTATATCGTCCTACTTAAGGGTTCCATGTTTTTAGTAGGTTAAAAATCTACAATGATTTTAGCTTCTATTTGATTTTAGTATTTATAACAGCTCGTTGAACCACAAAAAAAAAAGAAAAAGCCAGAAAACGAACCGGTACGGTGGGTCTCATTCCATCTTCATTTTTTTCGTTAACAACATGTCACTCTGCATTCTCACTTAAAAGATTCCGAGTTTTTGGTAGGCTAAAAAATTGAAATTGTTTTGTCTGCTATTTTAGAATTTTTGACACCCCCGCCAAACCAAAAAAGAAAAAGAAGGAAAAAATTCCAGCTCTTAATCAATCTTTATTTTCACTTTTAATACAATGTCATTTTGCATATTTCTGTATAAAAGGTATTAAGTCTTTCAATTAGTTAAAATCCTGCAATAATTTTTGTTGATGGACGTGTTGTCAATAACAAATGATCGTCGTTTTATCTAATAACGGCTAGTGTTGGCGATAGAGTTCGGTCGGAAGATCAAAAGTTATGGCCATCATTGATATCATTTTTAGTTATTAGATTGAGAAAATTGTTAATGAGTTGAAAAGAGATTGGAGCTCTAGATGAGTTTAAGGTGTTCTAAGCCCGGCCCGCGTTAATCCCTTTCTCCTTTACTGAAAAGGGATAAAAGATAAATAGTGAAAACATAATATATTAATCTTTTTACTTTTTTATATTTACAGTAAAATGTATCACCAATAGAACATTGATATGTGCCACTGAAAGCTATTAATATCCTAATTGAATGACACTTGTCTCTGAAAAAAAAAAACCTTATATATATATATATATTTGAAGATTAGGTTAGGGAAATTGTTAATAGGTAATAAAAATAAATAGTAAAATATAAAATATTAATCCTTGTACTTTTTTGTATTTACGGTAAAATGATCCACCAATAGAATACTAACATATGTCATTGGAAGCTATTAATATTCTAATTCAATTACATGTGTCTCTGAAAATAATTTTTTTAATATAGATATGGAGATATATTAACTTTAAGTTTTATATTTATTTATACAATATTATAATATATGAAATACTATGAAATGTGGTTGCCAAATAAAATTATGTTAAATATTTAGGTCATTTTATTACTACTAATCTAAATTAGTAGGAGGCATAACAAAATGAATGAAGGAATCTCCATATATTTATATTTGAAAATAAAAGATTTTTCACTTTAAAATATCTTAATCTGTTCGAATTTAAAATTTAATAACCAAAAAAAGGAAAGATAATAATAATTGACTCATTTTCGTAAGGTTTGTCAAATGAGAGTTCAAATTTATGTTGGTATTTAATTTACTTATAATAACTGCCAATCAAATTGAACTGTATAAAAACTCTATTTATGTCCACAATCAGTCAATTCATAAATAGTTTTCATTGGAAACAGTAAAATCACTCAATTCCAATACTAATTTGAAATTTTAGTCAAATATAACATGCCAGAGGAGATGAAAGAAAATATTTCTTCGGAAGTAACAGCGCTGCTTAATCCAACACAAAAACGGGTTATACAAATTGCCCTTGTACATCCGAACCTGTGAGGTTTGAGCCTCTATAAAGTTGTTCTCAAGGAATAAAAATATTAAAATTTATAAGACATAAAAACACGCAATGAAAAGAAGAAAAATTCAAATAATATTATTGAAATTGGATCTAAAAATAAAAATTCTCTATTTAAGTATTTCTGACAATCCATCAAACTAAAAAATAATAAAAGTAGAAGGTCTCATTAGATCTACATTTTCATCTTTAACAATTTTTCAACCTGCATCGTCCTGCTTAAAAGGTTCTTTGTCTTTGGTAGGTTAAATACCTGGAATAATTTTGACTGCTATTTTAGTATTTTGGCGGAACCCAAAAGAAAAAAGAGACATAATAATAAGCAAGAACTATTTGTTCAAAGATAATACTTATCGATAAATTAATATTTTATTAGTATGTATTTTAATTTTTTTTTTCACATTCAATAAGACATTTCTTATTGAATGTTTAAGACGGCGGCGTGGCCGGCGTGCTGGTAAGATACATCTTCGACTTCAACAACGGCGGCGTCAAGCGCCGATTGGAGCTTCGATTTGATTCTAGTCGCCCTTGAAAGTATTCCTCTCGACGCCATTCCCGTGAATCTTCGGCCAAAACACTAAAGAAAATGTCAAATATTTGCTTTGCAAAACTATCAATAATGTCAAATATTTGCTTTGCAAAGAAAATGTGAAAAAAAAAAAAGCAAAAAACTCTGATCATCCACTACCATCTTCCCTCGTTATTTTCCCAAACCACTTACTGAACAAAATTTGACAGCCGCAAATTGCCACCATCACCATTTTTTCTCATTCTGGCCACCATCTATTTTTTCCTTCGGCCAAAAATCTCATCTCCTAACACAAATTTCAGTTCCAATGGTATACAGCCTACAATACGCATATGAAAGCCCCCAAAATCATTCCAAATAGCAATCAACAAATCCCCTGCATTTCTTTATGTTCACCATGCTTGAAAGGGCTACTGTTTAGGAATTTAGGATCACAACCCTCAAAAGTAAATTAGATAAGGAAAAAAAACTGAACCCAAATAATTCCGATTAAAAAGATTCAATCTCATTTCAGATCTACGTTGCTGATTGTGGCAACCAATTCAACTTCAAAAGATGATGGTAGATTGTGTCTGAGAAAAAAGCCTCCTCCACGGCTCCAATGTCAATCACCAACAGAAACAAATAGTAAATGTCTAAATTCTTGGAAATAAAGTTTAAATAACCAAAAGAAAATAAATGGACACATGCTTACCAAAAACAATTGTAGCTTTAACATCGTCTCTATTCAATGATTCATCAAACTTCTCCTTTATTCTAGCAAGAACTGCAATTTACTAAATCATTGAAAGGAAATAAATTATTAAAAATTGAAGCACCTGAAAACTCAAAAAAACTAGCATTGGTTCTACCGATGCTGCCGCCGCTACCCCTGCTGGTAGAGCAGTATCAAAGAAGAAGTTGTTGCGGAGCATGGTGAAGAATTTACGTTGAGGAGCCCATTCATCCCAGGAAATTTGGGGATTATATTGCAGACGTGTTGTTGGAACTAAAATTGGGAGAAATCATTATCCCAAATTTTTAGGGATTTTATTAAGAGAAGATTGATATTTTGTTAAAAAAAAAATTATATAAATTTATAAAGTTTGAATTCACCAGGTTGTAACTTTGAAAAAAAAAATTCACGCTGGAATACACGCTGTTTATGTATATGGGATATGTAAAAGGTTAAAATTACTTATTATACAACATAAATTTTTATTTATGATTTTACAGCTTAATTAGCTAAATAACACAAACTAAACCCTATCATATATTTTCTTCTTCCCCAACGACCTGCCCACCTTTTCCAAGAAAATAAATTATGCTAAAAAAAAAATGCTTCCTCGTCGTCCAATGAATCTATCAGAGCATAGAAGTGTAACAGAGAGTCGGATATTGGCAAAGCTATCTTCATCAGGAGGTAGACTCATTATTCATCAATCATGAGTATCAGAGAGTGCATACGTGGCAACTTTTGAGTTCTGTCAATCAAAAAAGCACCATGTAAAAGTTATAAATATGAAGAGGGAAAATGACCGCAGAGTATGCCAGAGATGGGGCATTCAACACACCGCAGAATAATTTCCAGTGAGTATTTTGATTCACCGGAGATTTTAATCGCCGGAGTTATTTCGCCGGTTATTTGGATGAGTTAAATTTCAAATAATCGGTAAAAAGGTAAAACAGATGATATTATGTTAAAATATCATAAATGTTTTACTATTAGGAAATTACAATTATGAAGTGTAGTAAAACATTAATAGAAAGTAATAACCCAATAAAATATTGACGCATGGACTACTTTAGTTTTTTTACGAATGAAAACTGGACACGTGTTTTTTGAAACTATTGATGATCTAATAGTGCGACATGTGTCTTGTGAGCAAAATTCTCTTAATATATAGTAAGATTATACTAAGAGAGAAACTAAAGAGAGAAAACAAAAAACAGTTCTAAAAGTGCCACATAGGATCTATGTGTCATTTTCTAATGGTTTAGTCAAAAAATATTTACAACAATTATACTAATAGTCCTTCAAATTTTATGTAAATAAAGTTTTATCAAATGGCATTTAAAATTATAATTTAAAATAAGAAAATAAAAATTAATTAAATTTAATGGACGAGATTAATGAACATTAATGCACCAGAATTATTCCCTCCTAAAAATAATCCCTCCCAAAAATAATCCTCAATTAGTAGTAATTGGATGATTTAAATTGTAAGTTCAAATGGATAAGGCATTTATTATTTTCAACATTAATTCACCGGGATTTTTTACCCAAGCCAATTCAAATTAAAAAAAAAATCCCTCTACAAAATAATCCCTAAAATCACTACTTGATTAATTTAAAACCTAAGTTCAATGTGCGGGAAAGTGGGAATTCTTTAGTGATTAGAAACTAATCAAATTTAATTGAAAAAGACTAATCAACATTAATGCAATGGAAGTCATTTCCCCACCAATCTTGTCCCTTAATCAACGTGACGTTACCTTCTTTATTCTATAGTTATGAATTTTACTTTAATTACTGGTTATGATATCTCATTCAGACATTCACTATAAATATCCACTTCGGCCTAACTCTAACATGTACAATGACAACCGGTGAAACACTGAAGCGAAGCATCTTATATACTTTACAAAACATCTTTGTGGCGACGACCTCACTTCGATCATGTTTTATTTAACATGTAAGGTGTCTCTTTCTCCAATTGTTTGCAATCTTGATTAACATGCGTTTTTAACCGTGTAGACATAAATTGCTTTGATTTATATGACATGTAACATCTGATTTATTATTTTGGTGGTCTTTTTTACTTTTATTTGTATATAATCCTTATACATATTCCATTATTTAATTACATTTTTAGCATACAATTTATAAAATATTGTCATTTCAAAGTATATATAACAATTTTATTTATCACGATCTAATTTAATTTTAATCATATATTTACTATTACAAACCAGTTACTTTATTTGTATTAATCACATTTAAAATTTAAAAATATATTTTAATAGATGTATACGTATAAACCCGCACATCGTGCAGGTTTAACATCTAGTTTATGTAAATAAGAATACATCAAACTAATTGAACAAAAATCTAGTTAATATACCATCGTTTAAAGACATTCACAATTTTATTGATATTTTGTCATGCACTATTCACAACAAAAAAAGGTCTTCCTGCATTGGAATATTAAAATGAAAATTATACTCACTACATCCTAGAAGAATAATCATTTTGTTGATGAACTATTTTTTTTTTTCCCAAACGCAAAACAACGTCCCTTGATGTTCCAATCACATTTTGGGCTTGATTCTTCTCCTGTATAAGCCTGGAAGTAGTTTCATTTATGTTTTGTGCCGTTCCTGGTTCTCCTGTAGCTGGATCCTCCTATTATCATCATGTTCATGATCAATACGAGTGTATATTTCAGGCTCCCATGTCCAAACAATAATTCTCAAGGGGGAAACCTGGAAAACTTAAACTAAGGTGAATCGAGGATATCAGGAAACAATCTGTTTCACCCTATAAGTAATCATGTTGCCCTGAATTAAACATTTGTAGATAAAAAGGCTGTCTTAATTTAACAAGGAGATTATACAGTTTAGACTAGTGTTCCTCTGTCCGAAAAAATAAGAATATCTGAAAATATTACACATGAAACCCAAGAAAGTTCTTCATAATTCTATTGGGGGCTCTTTTGAATATCAGGATTGATGCAACTTCGGTTCAATGTCAATTAGATAACCAGTTGTCAACGACTACTATATTAGCTTCTTCAATGTCAGGATTGGCAACCAAAAAAAGAAAACTTAAAACACATCAAACACGATCATACTTAAATCCCTAATAATGATTAGATACCGAATTGTCAATTAGTACATCGTTTAGGCAAACCATCAAGTTCTGCTCATCAAAGACTGCGTTAAAGGTTCATCTAGACCAGGACATTAGCTTCACTATAGTCAAGGCAACCATGCAAAAAAGTTCTTGCCCACCAACATAGCATAATACACATTTTTAACTACTAATAATGTAATAACCATCACCCAAAAAGTAGTTGTTCTATAGTCTTTCGTCAAAACAGGGTTTTCCGTCACTTGTGCTGATCTTTCATTCAACTGCCTGTCCTACAGCCTAAAACAATCTGCACCGAGAAAAAAGGGGAGAAAAAGGAATCATCAGAACACTGCTGATTGTCATATACTCTTTTATTTCATATCAAATCAAATCAATACATAACGGTGCTCATAATGCAAATAGAAGGAGAAACCTAATGGTGATCATAAATGCAGCCTCTCCAAACTTATAAAATCTCATGTTCTAGGTTGTTTCTAGTCCAATGTATAGCTTCTTTGAATTGCTACAAGAGAGATAAAAGTTGGCATACTGCTAGACAGCAACCAAATTATGGCCATTGCATAAACCATGCGACAAACAACTATTGCATCCCACAGGAACTACAATTAGTGGCGGACTAAAGTGAAATGAAGAAAGCATTGAGTAGTGATAAGAGAGTGACACAACTGGGAGAGTGAGTTGTTTTCCAATTTTAACTAAGCTCGTCGAAAGCACAAAAATAGTAACCACATAAATGGAAAGGAAACAGGAAACTACAAGTAATTATTTAGCTTACTGCAGAGCAAATGATCATATTTAAAGGTAGCATAACTAAAGTGGAAGTAGAGTTCAATTTAAGAAATAGACAAATAACGTATTTCCGCAAACTCTGAGCAGCAGAAAAGTAATAATGGGTTGGAGTAAGCAAATGCAAGACACATTCAATAATGAAACTGTAGCATGCAATTCTCAAGATCTAATAATTACTTTCAGTGCAAGCTCAAGTATTCATGTTAGAGACCATCTCAACATATTAAAGATTCAAATTGTGCAGTTAGGACCTTACATAATTACACGGAAAGCTAGAATCCGTAAAGAAGCCAGAAACTTTTCAGCACCCCAAAGAGTAGGGCTAATTCGCGATAGCCAATTGCCATGGTGCCAAAAAGCTAATATTGATTATAAAGTACAGTGATCATCAAAAGGAGAAAAGGCAAACATCAAAAGCAGAGAGCAGATGAAATGCCAAGACTGAACATGAGATGTTAAGAACTGTTTGGAAGTATACCACTTAAGAAAATTATGGAACTGTGGCAGATTTATCACAATGCATGCCTTACAGATTCAGGACAACATGAAAACAATGGAAGCATCAAAAACCTGAATTCCACATTCACTATTACTCTCCCACCAGGCAAAAAGAAAGATATATAACAGTATCATAGTGACCACTTACTTTAAATGCAAAAAGTATGAACTAGTATACTATAACAACAAAAGGCACGCCATTAACAAAATGAGCAGATAAGTAGTACCACATTTTTAACAACATTGAACGAGAACAAATTTAGGTACCAGAATAAGAGGAATCGCAGCAGATCTGGCCAGTTCCTATACCTACTCCAGACGGCGCTGAACCATGACGACACCATCATCATCGGGATCCTTCATTGGCCCTTTTGCATCGTGATCATTAACCAAAAACAAACTCTCAACAACCACCTCAGTTAGCCAAGGCTCTCCCATGGGATTAATACGAGGGTAGGAAACCGATTTAGTCTTGGGGTCAGAAAGGGCCATGAATTTCCAGAAGTCAAAGAGAATTCTCCCATCCTTGGACATGAAAACTGGTTGGCAAGACACCTCACGGTTGGGATCCTTCAGCTTAGGAACTAAAAGCACTTTGGTCCAAGATTGCTTGCCCATATTTTCCTTCATTATCCACATATCGATATGACTTGTGCGATGGTAACAAAACACAGAAAGACCATCCAGGAAAACTCCAAAAACCATATCAAAAGTGCCCTTACCATAATTAGGTTGTTGCAGTACTCCGTAAGTTTCAGTCTTCAAGTCAAACCAACGAATCTTCGCCTTTCCACTAGTACCTTTCCCCCAATAAACTTTTCCACGCACAAGAAAATACCCTTCACCCAAGCGACCAATAAAGCCACGAATCTGCCTCCATGTGTTGGTGTTTCCACTGTAGACAGCTATCCATTTCTCCCTAAAAGCCAGAAGACAAAGTTGATGATCATCTTCATCCTCATAGTACCCAAACAAAGCTTGAATCTGCCCCGCTTCCTTCGGTAAATCATGAAATCGAGGCAATTTCTTAAATTTTCTAATAGTAGGATTCCAGAAATAAAAATCCTTCTTCACCATAAGACAAACAATTCCGTTAGCAGCAGCCACAATCTCAGCCTTGCGGGTATTGATAAAAGGATCCTCCACAAGGGAGGACTCAATAGTAGTGTCGACATCACCAAAGAAGACAGAGGCAAGAGGAAAACACCAAGTGTCGTAGCTGCACAGCCTGGTGTCACCGAATGTCTTGGCACATCGATAGAGAACCGTATGGCGTGCATAATCATCTCTTTTCGACGATTTCTTGAGCTGGGATTTGATGAATTTTGGAGATGAAATCACATCTCGCCAGGATTTGGAGACGCAGCGGAATTGAACAAGGGTTTTAGCTGGGAGCCAAGTTAGAATCTCGACAATGAGTTCACTTGGGAGTGTTTCCAGAGATTTTTGAAAAGAAGAGTCAGAAATTTGCCCTTTTGCATCATTCTCATTAATTAAAACCAAACTCTCAACAAGCAATTCAACTTGCCAAGGTACTCCCATGAAACTAACATGAGGGTAGCTCACCAATTTAGCCTTTGGATCGGAAAGAGCCAAGGATTTCCAGTATCTAAAGAGAATTTTCCCATCCTTGGACATGAAAATTGGCAGGCAAGACTTCTTACTGCCGGAATCCTTAAACTTAGAAACCAAAAGCACTTTGGACCAAGATTTCTTCACCCCATCTTCCTTCATAATCCATAAATCAACATGACTGGTGGGGTGATAACAACAGAAAGCCAGACAACCTTCGAGAATTCCAAAGTCCAAACGAGAAACATCCTTAGCATAATCTGGAAGTGCCACAATTCCAATGGTCTCACTCTTCAAATCAGCCCAAACCATACCTAAACCAGTCACTCCCTCATAGGTAACAGGATCGCCCCAATACAGGATACCACGGGCAACCAAAAACCCAACAGCAGGCCAGTTAGCAATACAAAACCTCTGGATTCTCCTCCAAGTGTTTGTGTTTCTACTGTAGACATCAATCAAAACATTCTCAGAACCATAATAAGACGCAAAAAAATACACTCGATAATCACCATCAACCTCGTCATACTCAAACACAACATGGCGCTTCTTACTTGGTTTGGAATGGGGATAAAATTCAGGCAGCTTCTTGAACTTTCTAATAGTGGGGTTCCAGAAAAATAATTTCCTTTTGATGCCAACGCATAACAGACCATTAGCAGAACCTATAATCTCACTTCCGCGACTATTCATGACAGGATCCTCCACCAGGGTGGACCGAATAGTGGTTTTTCCATCACCAAAGAAGACAGGGGCAAGAGAGAAATACCTAGTGTTGGGGTTGTAACCCTTGGCTTCACCACCAGATGAGGTCATACACCGAAACAGAACCCGATGGTGAGCATAATCATCCCTTCCGGAAGAATTCCTAAGGTGGGCTTTGATGAATTTTGGGGTTGTTATCAGAGCTCGCCAAGATTTGGAGACGCAGAGGAATCGAGCAAGGGTTTTGGCAGGGAGCCAAGTTAGAATCTCGATTATCACTTCATTTGGGAGGGTTGCTATGGATTTTTCAACGGATGAGTCAGAAATTTCTTTCTTGGGATTAGGGTTCGAAGAAGAATTGATCGGTTGCAGAGTTTCTTCCATGGCTGGTGATCGCAGAATTGCTTTCAGAGGAAGAAAATGATGAGCATTTTGGGAAATGAGGAAAAAGGTTCAATCCTTTATTTAGGGGTTTTTTTATTGTTGTTTTTTCACACTGTAGAGGCGCGAATTTATAATTTTTAATTAATTTTAAATATGCTTTTTAAAGCGTGACCTAAAATTCCACGCCTTTAAGCTTTTGTTGGTGCGCTACTGCGCTAATTGGAAAAGGCGTGATTTTTTGGTCGACTGAGTTCGGAGAATATTATAACCAGTAAACTATTCTACCAATTAATTTGTTATCTGTTGACCAGTTGTCCAGAACGGCTTTGTTTAGGTTCATTTGCAAGCCTAACTTTTGTTTGTAGCAAAGAAATCATGATTAAATCTAACTAGTTAAATCATACGCGCTTCACGCGTGCCCTCGACCATAATATAAATACTATAAAGTAATAATAATTGTAAAAATGTGAAATGAAAAGTAAAATAAATCGAAATTATTGTATAGTTCTATTAATGTGTATAGCCAATTTCACAAAAAAGAAAAGAAAACAAAAAAGAATTGAGAAGAAGAAAGACATTTGATTGCTCCGTATATAAATCCTATATATTGATTGATTGAGGAGGCTAAAAAACTTTACATTATATTATTATAAAATTCCTTGAGTAATCTTCCAAAACAATGCATCAATGACCTTTGAAACAACACCAATGAGAAACCGGAAATGTAATGATGATGCAAGTTAGTTCTAGAATTCAGAAAATAGAGAAGAGGAACAAATCATGTCGTAAATACTTATTCCAGCATGATAAGTGACATAGGTAAATGGTATGTAAAAATGGTTTAGAGCCTTAGAACAAATTAGAGAAAAAAAATATTATAATCTAGAATTTTACAAATAGTTCCACGTTATTTTTAAAAATCTAAATGAATTCAAGAGAATGCAAAATCACATGTAAAGTCACATGAGTCCATTTCCTTAACTCTAAATGTTACTGTTCTTTAACTCTCTTCAAAAATCTTCAAATACTTCTCATGCTCTGTAAAACTCCCAATACAATTCAATTTTATATATACATCAATCACCATTTTAAAAAAGGAGAATAGGAAGAAAAAGTAGTAGAAGAAGAAGAAGGAAGAACAAAACAAATCGTAAAATAATTGAATTTGTAAACGTAGTTTTTGGTGTACCTTCTGGTTTTACTATAAAAAAAATTGCTCTTTCTTTAGATGCAACAACACCATCTCTGTCCAAATACTATTGTTCTCGAGAACTTATATATGCAAAAAAGGAAGAAAATGATCAATACAAGCATATACACTTTCAAAATCAAAGGATTAAAAGAACTTTATATTCATATGCTCTTATTCCGATCAATTGAGAAGAATCTTGTGCTACACCAATCTTAAAAAGAAGAACAAAACAGAGTAGACGAGAACAAAGAGGTGAATGTCATAATGCAAAGGTTTGTTTATATTTTAGATGAATTTACTGCATATTAGAACCCATTAAACAACTTGGAAGAAGACAAATGGGCAATATAATTAATAGAGGAGGCTAATTGATCTTCTATTTTTACGTTACTATTTAGGGAATTAACTAAATGTAATAAAATTGAAATTAATTGCAAATTAAGCCACCTATTTCATTCACTAATAGATTTTAATTCATTGAAAATTAAGATATCAAATGAATTCCAATTTAATTAGTACTGCTGACATGGCATGCACGACCAAAACTAACACCAAAAAGAACAAAGTGGCTATTTATATATATAGTTGATTAAAGCTATGGGAGAGGTGGTAATAAAAGGGAAAAATTGTCCGATCTAGCCTAAATTTTATCCTCGTTGTCAATTTTACCTTAATCTTTTTCAATTAGCTTATTTTACCCGTAGCTATCACAACTTTCGTCAATTCATCCTTTTTGCCCAATTTCCGTCCAAATTAACGGTTTTCACGTTTTTTTCGTCAAATGGGCCATTATTTTATTATAAAAAATTAAACTGGGCCCTTAAAGAATCAGATTTATTCCTTAATCACTTTTGACTTACACCTAATTATGTTGGATTCCCCCCCCCCCCCAAAAATTTGTGGGCCCCACATGGCCCAAAAAATTCCCAAAAGTCAATTTTTGGAATTTTAGACTTTTTTTTCTTTTCTTGAAAAGGGAAGACTGGACGTTACGAAACAAAGTCCTCCATTCTGAAAAAAAAAAAAAAGTGAAAAACATTCCATTTGCAAAAAATCTGAAAACTCAGATTCGTGACTTTCAGAGCAAAAAACGTGGAAAATAGTAGATAAAATGAAATTGTCGGCGAGAGGAGAGGCATTGTAGCAATATCGGCGGTCGAGATGCTGGATCCACGGCCAAAAGAGAAGAACAATGAGCCTCCACCTCAGTATGGTGAGTATATTTTTTAAAAAAATTGTGACTTTAAGTGTCAATTTGGATAAAGGGGATTCGGAAAAGGGGATTTTGTTTCTTTCGTTCCTGCTGCGAAAATGGGATTCGGGAAAGAATGTCCCTTTATTATGATACATGTGGGTTCCATTACTGATGGATGAATTTGTAAAATAATTGGTTGTAATTATTTGTTAATCAATTTTCTTAGGGTTTAACCTCGATTTTGATTTTCGTGGTCCCAAATTCCGATTGTATGCATGTATTTTCTAGTTAAATTTCGGTCCCTCGATTGCGGTTTTCTTATGCAGTTTTCAGTTCAATTATTTTAGGGTTTAGAGTCCTCATTGTTGTCCCTTTACCTTACCACAGATCATGTTACGCCTTTGGGAAGCATTCAGATGCATTATGGTGGTGAAATGATATATACACCATCCCCTGTTTATTGTGGAGGAGAATATAGTTTTTTTGATAATGTTGATTTGGAAAAGCTAGACTTTGAAGACCTGGTTATGATGGCAAAAACAAGTGGATTGGTGAATAAAGTCAAGTTCTTCCATATAAATGAAGATAATATGGTGAATAGTGTATCGAATGATTGGGAACGCATGGAAGCGTGTGGAGAGGCACTTGCTGGTGATAGATGGATGGAGTTGTACACTTTAGAAGTTGAGGTTGCAGATGAACATGGTACCGAGGGCAATGAAGGTAATGACTTGAACAATGCTGGTCATATAAGTAACACTGTGGGGTTAAACAGTGCTGATGTATGTGAGAATGAAGAGTCAGATAATGATGGTGATGATGATGAGAGTGATGAAGATAACAAAGATTGGAGTGATAAGGATTCTAAATACGATTCAGAATATGATGATCAAGATTATGAAGAGAATGTTGACGAAAGTGAAGCAACCTAGGGTGGTGGAAATGGTTGTAGTGAAGGTCCTGCAAGTGAAGGATGGGAAGAAGAAGTCACATGTCAAGTGATGTAATTCAATAATTTGGTTGTCTTCCTTTTACTAGAATATTTACTACTGCAAGGTTGCAGGTTGAAAGTAGTACTTTTGTTTAGACCTTGGCACCTTTTGCTTTGGAAATCACTTGTTTTTTTTTTTTTTGTTGCACAACATGCCTTGAACTGTGTAAGGTATTCATATGTGCTTGATAGCCAAGATTATTAATATATGAAACTATTTTCACCTTGCATTCAAATGCTTCTTTATTTAAGGTTTCTTTATATTTTACACCAACAGTGAAGATTAGAAGATGTGAAGTGATGCTTGGTTTAACCAATTATTTGGCTAATGTTATCTAACATGTTTCACAAATTTTGCTAATTTTACCCAACAGTTTGATATTTTTGGCCAATTTTGTCCTAAATGTTTGACCAATATATGGCCAATGTTGTCCATGAAGTGGCCTTTTAACATATTCCCAACCCAACACAATCAAATTCAAATGCATTCAAAAGTATATGGAAACGCTTTCCATTCCAGAATTCAAAAACGACAAGAGAGTACAAGGGAAAACCAAGTGCTTACTTCTTATCATCACCCAACATAAAGAAAAATATTACTACCTAGATAACCTACTGAAGATACAGGACAGTACTGCTCTTGATTTGTTTTTTTTGAATAAAGTACTGGACTTGATAATTGCTATGAAGAACCTAGTTCCTCATCAAACACATACACACCACCACAATGGCATTAGCAGCAACATAAAACTAAATTCGCCGCTCACGCCTTTGCAATCTTAGATTTTCGGCTTCTAAGATGTTCTCCCTGTCCCTACTGTTATTTATCCTCCTAAGCAGACCTTGGATGATCACCTGTCCTCTGACCTCCAACTGGGGATCTAGCCACACAAAAAAATTGCACACCCCAGGATCTGGCCAATGAGGACATGCCAAAAACCTTCTGCCCAAGTTGTTGCCTCTCCAACAAGTGCGAAGTGCTGCAGGGCTTCCACAATTGCACAATTGTGCCATGCTCTGTTGATTCACGATAGAGAGAAAAAAGTGGAGAAGAAGAAAAAAAAATTTCCAGTTGAAATTAGTGTGGAATCAGACTGAAATAAGGGGTTAGACCTTTTATAAAGTGAGAATTTTTTTGGGCCATGTGGGGCCCACAAATTTTTTTGGGGGGAAATTTTCCTCTACTTTGACCCAACATAATTAGGTGTAAGTCAAAAGTGATTAAGAAATAAATCTGATTCTTTAAGGGCTCAGTTTAATTTTTTATAATAAAATAACGGCCCATTTGACGGAAAAACGTGAAAACTGTTAATTTGGACAGAAATTGGGCAAAAAGGACGAATTGACGAAAGTTGTGATAGCTACGGGTAAAATAAGCTAATTGAAAAAGATAGGGTAAAATTGACAAGGAGGGTAAAGCTTAGAGTAGATCGGACAATTTTTCCGTAATAAAAATATGTACTTGAAGTGTACTGTCATGGTCCTTGTTAACGTAAATACCTTTAAAAATTTCCATGATAAATTTGGGATGAAGAGGTTGTCAAATTAGAAGAAACAAAGTGACTTGCGGCAGTAAAAGAGTGTTTATATGAGAGCTTATATCCCGTCCCGACCCAATACAAGAGTCGTGTTGATTGTCAACTGGTTACGTTTCAAAATAAGAGTCTAG